GCCCAGCTCTCCACTTTGTCATGGTGGGTCCTGCAGGAGTCAGCTTCATGCTACTGATTATTTACTTGCAAAATGGGTGTTGTGCCTTGGTGATACCCCCCCTCCCTATGCAGTGCAGTAGAACACAGCCTAACTGTGGTCCTCCCTCCACCTCTAACACATGAATGTGATAAAAGCCTGCTTAACACAGCATGTAAAGAAAGACTCAGTTCTGGCCACTCAACTCCAGACTCCTAGAGGTGTTTGACTGAATGGCCATCAACCAGGTGTTTTGGGTTTTTTTCATTTGATAAGTGAGGTAAATCATAGACATTGTGTAAGGAATATGTACAATAGGATTTTCCCCAAGATTTTTTCTAGTACCTTTATCCCTGAGCTGGTGTGGCCAAACCATACCAACTCTGTGGGCCACATTGTTTAGAGTCATTAACAGTTTGTTTCTTTTACCCCATCAGTTGTTGTACAATGCACAGTTGCACTAGGGTCTCCTCCAGGTACTTTGGGTGGTTTTCAAGAATGTATCTATCGATGCCCATGAAGAAGTCATCTTGAGCAAGGGCATCTGTCTTTTCTTCCTCCCAAGCTCTGGTCTCTGTCAGGGATATCTCTCATCAGAATCCCCATCTCAGCTCCAGTATAGTTAGTGCTCTGTGAAGTCTCAGTACATCTTAAAGGTTCATGATAATGGGAATTTCATCTTTGACCTATTCTTAGAGATGGGCAGTGATAAATACACCGGGAAGCCAACATTTCCCTCACTTAAATGGAGAACGCTCCAAGATTTAGTCATTTCTGATGATGGCAGGAACAGTCAGGTTGACCATCATTTGATGAATTTGGAAGTGTAGAGAGACAATCAAAATAACCAAGATCCTAATTCCTTTTTACTTCTTTCACACACAAATGTGATTTTAGTTAATAAAGGCAAACAGTTAATTGGGGGGATTTTCCTTCTCAATTTGGGAGGAAACCCTTTCTCAAGTGAGACAAATGACCATCCTTTTTCTTTCATAAGAAACTGAGTTGTATGTTTTCTCACAAAACATCTAATGTGTGTGTGTGCATGTGTGCTCGTGTGTACACACACGGACACATTGCATGATACTTACATTGGTCTACTTTCTGCCTTTCTGCAGAGGATCAATTTTACTGCTTTCTGTCTTTTAGAAATATCCTTTCAACACTAAATATTTCTTAACCTGTGTGAAGGCAATATTCTATATATTCCCTAAAGTCTATCTACAGCTACCTTTCCCATCTAGCCTGCTATGTGGACTTCTGTTCTCTCTGAATTCCAGAAATGCTTTTGAAAACTAGCACCTTTTAAAAATAGTGACTCTGGACGCCCTCTGCCGTCTATTGTAAGTTCTTCAGCTCTGCTACTGACAGCAAAGCAAGAAGTTGGCCAGGGATTATTGAGAATATATGCACACAGCCACCATTTGGGTAGGCAATACAGAGATGGGGTTAAAAACATGACCGCCGGCATCAGATCTCCTGGGTTCAAAAACTGTCCTCTCCTGCTCTCTAGTGTTATATCCACAGGCAAGCAACCAAACGTCTCTGAGCTTCAGTTTATCTGTGAAATGGGATAATAGTACTTTATGGGGTTTCCTGGGGATTAAATGAGATAAAGTGCTTTGTACAGGACCTGGCAAATGGTAAGTCTTATTATTATTGTGACATAATTTCGCTCTTGTCGCCCAGGCTAGAGTGCAATGGTGCAGTCTAGGCTCACTGTAGCCTCCGCCTCCTGGGTTCAAGCAATTCTCCCGTCTCAGCCTCCCGAGTAGCTGAAATTACAGACACCTGCCACCACGCCTGGCTAATTTTTTTGTATTTTTAGTAGAGAGGGGGTTTCACCATGCTGGCCAGGCTGGTCTAGAATTCCTGACCTCAGGCGATCTGCCCGCTTCGGCCTCACAAAGTGCTGGGATTACAGGCTTGAGCTACCTCGCCCGGCTAGTAAGTCTTACATGTTACCTATTTTTGTCTATAATCTTTGTAATTTTATGAACCCTGGCTTTTTGTAAGCCCCGTTTTTGTTGAATTCTCTATCACCTTAGGACCAATGTGTTAAAAATCGATTATGCTCTTCTAAATTGGAAATGACATTTCCTCTGCTCTCTATAGCTTTTTATATAATGACAAGGTTTTTAGGCCAAAGCCTCATGATGCATGAAGCCATCTTGGCACCAGCTATAACCAGAACATACTCCTCACCCTACCTGACATCAACCCAGTAATTTCCAGCTATAAAATGGAAGGTTAACTTAATCCTCTTCAATCTTCATGGCTACATGTGTCTACCTGGGATTCGGCAGAACACATCAGCAGGTTCTGTTACTATTAGTTACCAAGAATGAGACTTGCATTTGTGGATTCAAAATCAAATCGAGTTGTAGGGCAGTCCCTTTGCAGGGGTTATGCCTGCCTTCATGTTGTCAATTGTAATAGGTGATGTTGCTGTCTAGGGGTAAGGGCTACTTGGGGGATTAAAAGACAGGGTGATGCTGTGCTCTTCAGGGTGAGCATCTTGGCCTGACTTGGGTCAGGAAAAATGAATCAGGGAAGACAAGGGATTTACAAAGCATCACTCTAATCCGACAATACATTTCCAGGCAGGCCCACAGTTCAGACTGTGATGCCTTGCAGGACAACTCAGAGGCCCCTGGTTCTCTCTCTTCTCCACCTGATTAAATGAGGCCTTCCTCTCCTATCCCAGAGCAGCCAGCTCTGCACTGTTTCAGTGGCAGGGCAGTGATTAGCAGGTAAGCATGTGGTTCCCTTTCCCTCTGGGCCTTCTCTCCCCCTCCCCATCTTTGATGGCTGTGGTAATGCTGCTTCTGAGGCCCTTGGAAGAAAGTCAGCTGAGCAAGCAGGCCAAGTGGGGAGGTGAGCAGTTCAGCAGCATTTTGATCCTCTTTCATTAGCAACTTGAAAGTCACCTGGAACCGTTGTGCCCACCGCCTACTCCCCCAAACCCTCACCAAATCACTTCATTCTCAGATTAGCTGTGTGCTTGCAATGTCTGGGGAGGAACTCCCATGGATACATTACTGCAAGATACAGGGGCTCTGGTTCAGTACATGAATGCACTGGCCAACCCAGGACCCCCGCACAGGCCAAGTCATTCCACTTCTCTGTGTCTTGGCTCTGTCATATGTAAAACCGGGATAGAAACAGCAACCAGTCTGAGAAAACAGTGAAGTGCCTAAAGTATATTGTGGCAGACTGTACATATTAACTAAAATCTGCCATTAATTGATGAAATCACGCTTTCAAAAAATATTAAGACCCCACTAAATGTATAAATAACATGCTACATAAGCACCTTGGGGTCATATAAAACAAATGTAGAATACTCTGTTCCGGAGAGACCAGATATGGAGAAAAAGATTTGTAACAATACATGGCAGTGTACTTTAAGTGTTCAAAGAGGTGACACAGACAACTGGTTTTACAAAACACCAGCAAAAGGTATTCCTTTATATACGTGTGTGTGTGTGCATATGCACATGCACGCATGCACACACACACACACACACCCCCCACTTATACATGCCACAGGGTGATATGAATATTACCCTAGACTTAGCATTTATCCCAACTGCAATCATGTGGTCATTTGCCCAGTTATCTTTTTGATGCCTGTTGCTCTTGCAGAATGCAAGCTCCATGGGAACAGAGGACATTTAAAAAATCTTCTTGTTTTGACTCCATCTTATTGAATAGAACATATCTCAATCAGAATACACCAATTTCCATTAATTTTTGTTGAGTACACTTTTTTGAGCTAATGCCATTTAAATGTAATTCCTTGATTCATTTTCTATGCAATACAATTGAACCACTTCCTTTTAAAAGGTATCATTTCACTTTTATTTTTGTGCAATCATTTCCTTAGAATCAATTTTACCATGATTTGGTTCCTTGGTTTCTTATGCATATCAAATGTTAATGATGATAGCTTTTGCCACTGTAATCTTTTTTATGGCTAGTTTATCTATGAAGTGTAATTTCTCTGAATCAAATTTATAGGTAGAAATGTCATGAAGGAAATTTGAATTGTGGGTTATTTTAGTCAAGTCTTGTGTAGTTTTGCCACAATTGGCCTTAGTTTATATGGATTTCTTTATGCATGTTGGGAAAAAAAATGGATATATATTTTCATTGTCTTTAAATCCTAATGCCCTGGAACTCTGGATTCAATTAATTCACTGGTGGGCTTGGGGTCAGCATGAGAGAACAGCAGAGGAAGGGTACTTATTATGTGTAGGGCAGATGGCAGAGAATACAGACCTCTGCTGGCATAATGCTCTAAAAGGCCTGTTGGGCCCAACACTGCCTCAGCACATTATTTGCTCAGGAGTCCAGAGACAAGGCCAGACTTCCCACTCTTCCCCCTCCTCATAACTGAGACAGAGGACACAGAGGATGAATCTGAAGCCCACACCTACTGTCCAAATGGACACACAAGCTTTCTGTTATACCAACTATTCTTAAAGTGTGTTGCCCAGACTAGCAACAGCATCATCTGAGAATGCATATGTAATGCAAGTTCTTGGGTCCTGACTCATATGTATGGAATCAGATTCTGGGGGTGGGGCCCATCAATCTGTATTTTAACAAGCTCTCCAAGTGATTCTGATGCATGTTCAGGTTTGAGAGCCACAGCCTTATACTCAGCTATCATCCTGGCTATGAAAAGGTAGGAGGAAGATATGCAAAAAGATTAAACATTTACCTCAAAGAAATCAAAGACTAAAATATCATTTAAGCAAGATCAAGTCTCCCATGCCTCCTGTTTTCAGTATAACCAGAGTTCATAAGAAGTTTTAGTTCACTGCAAAGAAATAGAGAAGCCTACATTTTTGCCTACCCGAATTGTAGCAGGCAAATCCTTACCTCCTCATTATAATATCCCAACAATATTCATTATGAGTAGTTAAAAGTTTGTATTTACTTCCTGAATCATCCTCAACAAAAATATCAACAAATATTGCCCAGGATTGTTTTATTTCACAGCCAAGTCCATTCTTCAGTAGGAATTTGACCACTCTGTAATGAGCACCTCCTACAGAAACAACAAGCAAATGAATGGGCCAAAAGGTCCCTGGGAGTCAATGTGGCAGGCTAAAATCTTCTGTGTTGGGATAGAGTTCTTGTCTGTCTTTTCCCTGTGGCATGTAAAGAGTCTTTCGTAGTGCCTTGTCCTTTGTAGATGCTCAATATAGATATGGTGAATGAATGGAGAATCCTTGAGGATTTAAACAGCTTGCAAATGCCTCATTGAAAAAGTGACAGAAGTTAGACCTTGAATAATGGGCAGAACAGGATAAAGAGTGGGGACACTTTAGTTGGGAGGAGGAAGGGATACACAGTGGGCTGAGCAAAACTTGGGAGTCAGGTCTAAATGTGGAAGGTTGGGACTGGCTGTCTTCGTCTCTTCAGGCTGCTATAACAAAATACCAAAAACCGGGTGGCTTATAAATAACAGAAATATATTTTTCACAGTTCTGAAGGCTGGGAAATCCAAGAACAAGACGCCAGCATTTGGTGTCTAGTGAGAGCCCACTTTCTGGATCACAGAAAGTGCCTTTTTGCCATGTCCTCGCTTAAAGGAAGGGGCGACCAAATTTCTTTGGGCTTGTTTTATAATGGCACAAATCCCATTCATGAGGGCACCACCCTAATTCCCTCCCAAAGGCTACATCATCTAATACCAACACCTTGGGGATTTAGATTTCAACATATGAGTTTGGGGGGACATTCAAACCCTGCACTGAGTGTATGGTATTAGAGAGGAAAAGCTGTCCATGGGGGACCAGTATGACCACCAACATTGTTATACAATATAGTTAAATCAGCTGGTGAGTTAAATAAGTACTAATCCTCTGTTACATTCCCTACTGTGCTAGGCACCCAGCAAACAGAGAAAGGACAGACATGGCACCTGAGTCTAGTGAAGAAAACAGACAGTGACAGGCATATGATAAACGCTTTGATAAGTGAGGTACATGAGGCACATGGGGTGTTCACCTAACCAGGTGAGCTAGACCAGAAAGCCTTCTCAGATGAAAAGATGTCTAAGCTGAGACCTGAAGGATGAGTAGGAATTAGCCATTCCACAAGCAGGGAAGTGGGGTGTAGAGTAGCAAGAGTTGGAGCTGGATGGACAAACGTGGGCCAGATTAGGAAGGACCTTCTAAACCACGTTGAAGAGCCTGAGCTTTATCCAGAAGCATGTGAGGTCCTCAGGAAGTTAAACAGGGGAGAAAACAGACTTATCTATGACAGTTTCACAGAATTTATTCTTTGAAATTCCTACCACTGAGATGGGATATATGCTCCCTCCATTTGAATCGGGGGGTGGGGAGGGGCGTTGGGACTTTAGTGGAAGTGATGTTATGTGACTTCTGAGAGTAGGTCATAAAAGGTAACTGCTTCTGCCTGGTCCTCTTGGGACAGTCACTCCTAGTACCTAGCCACCATGCTGTGGGGAAGTTACATGTAGATATGTTCCAGCCCCAGCACTAGCTGAGGTTCTAGCATCAACTGCCAGAAATACTAAGGAAGCCTTTGAGATGATTCCAGTCCCGGCCACAATCTGATGATGACTATAACTGCATGAGAACCTGAATAAGAACTGTCTGGCTGAGCCCAGTCAGTACTTAGGATAATGAGAAATAACTCAATGACTGGTATTTAAAGCCACTGAGTTTTCAAGTGTTTTCCACACAGCAATCAATAACTAGAACTATCCCTGATAACAACTAATTAAGAAGATATCTTTTTGTCTCCTCCTAGTAATTGTGCTGAACTCACCATACTGATTTTTGGGACTCTGGAACAACACATGTCTACAGTAAGTAAAAACAGTCTACAAAAGCACACAACAGAGTTAAGGAATAAGATGTTCTGTCCAATCCAATATTTTCATTAATGGGATAAGTAGGCCAGGTGCGGTGGCTCATGCCTGTAATCCCAGCACTTTGGGAGGCCAAGGCAGGCAGATCACTTGAGGATAAGAGTTAGAGACCAGCCTAGCCAACATGGTGAAACCCCACCTCTACTAAAAAAAATACAAAAAATTAGCCAGTGTGGTGGTGGGCAACTGTAATCCCAGCTACTTGGGAGGCTGGGGCATGAGAATTGCTTGAACCCAGGAGGTGGAGGTTGCAGTGAGCTGAGATCACACCACTGCACTCCAGCCTGGGGGACAGAGCGAAACTATGTCTCAAAAAAAAAAAAAAAAAACCCCAAAGCAGAAAAAAACAGAATAAGTAAATGATGTAGGCAAACTACTGCTTACAAAGAAACACCATTTTTTCAAAGGAATTACTGAGTTTTAAAGAATGAAATGCCCATCATAACCTATACTGAACACTTTTTTATCGGAATTTTTTAGACTTTAGAATTATCTATTACTTTGGGGTGAACATTATGCATATCAGTTACCTCTGCACTAAGGTTTCTGGGACAGGTGGAATGGACCAGTTTTTCCAGTCAGCTGAGCACCAGCCACCTGCTGCTCAGGGCAGCAGGGACTGGGAAGCTTGTTGCTATTTACTGCTCACAAAATTTGGTTATTTTGCTAATGAATGGTTGTTAGCTAACAACCAGGGGCACACTCACCCACAGCACTGGAGCCATTTGAACTGTGAGAGTTAAAGATGAAGAGTAAGTTGCGGGGACAGGAAGCATGCCCTATTATTCCCTAAGACTGAAGGTGGAGAAATCCAAGCACTTTTTTTTTTTTGGCGTGTGTGCAAAACACCAGACACATACAGAAACAATTAGGATTCTCTGAGGGCAGAGAATTTGTTTCTCTAAATGGGGCTGTCCAGTGTTTCACAGAGTACAAGGAAAAGAAATTCAGTATTTTTGAGAAGGAAGAACTCATTTGTTTTTATAATTCCTTAACTAGTTTCAAACATATTGCATGTACTATGTGCCAGCCATTATCTGCTTTCTTTATATTCCCTATCTCATTTCATCCTCACACGAAGCCTAAGAGGTAGGTACTATTATCCCAATTTACCAAATGAGGAAACTGAGGATGCCCAGGGCCACACAGTCACGGGGGCCCTTAGTATTCTATTTCTTAAGAGCTGCTCCTTTTTCCCCTCTGCAGACATAATGTGGTACAGTGGGAAGGTACTAGACTAGGAATTTGGATTCTAATCTCAGCTCTACCACAAATCAATTATGCCAATTTGTGACTCTCCTATGTGGATCCTGTCCTCAGGTGGGATTGTGATCTCAGACCTGGATTCAGCAAACACCTGACGCTGTGATTCTCTCACTGGGACACAGTGTACAGGTGAGATTAGGGATCTCTTGCATGGATCATTTCCTTCACCTGAAAGATGAAGGAATTAATTAGGAGACTCCTCCTAGTCTACAGTTTCCGACTCTATAATCCTTGCCTCAGAACAACCACCAAGTGAACAGTCTTAGTTTTGGAGGTAGCAATGAAGAGTCTGCAGCACTCTTGGCAGACAGCTCCTGAGGTCTGAGCAACCCTCTGGGCTTTCTGAAACAAAAGGAGCAAGTGAGGTGGGGTCACTGTGTATCTTCTGCTCACTGGTGAACAGATATGGTAAAATTCAACACATACTATATTTCAGACCATCATAAGTATGAAGCAGGTTTGAACTGCTCTCATGGCACATTTTTTTTTTTTAATATGAGGCATTCAAGAGAGAAAAATCATTAACAAATAAGATAAACTATAGGACTAAATATTATCCACATAGAAACCTAAGCATTATGTGGCTTTTAGTGGCACTTATTTTGAAAAGCACATGGCTTACCCATGATCAAAGCAGTAATCATTTAAATTTGGCTTACTCAGCAGTCCTAAAGGCTAAATTCTGGTTTTGTTTGTGCTGGTGAGAGAACAAAACAACCACAATCCCATCAAGTTTGCTTATGAACCTTATTTATCTTATTTTTGAGAAAATCTGATCCTACCGAACCTTGAATGAAGATTTCAAATCTATATGCAAATACACATAGGCATTATTGTTTTGCAGATGGAAAAATGAGGGCTCTAGTCATAGATATATATGATGGCAGAGCAATGAGAAAATCCTGGGCTGTTTTCTAACATGGTAGAGTAGGGTTTTAGACCTCCTGAATTCAGCAAGGATGTAATTTGCAAGTTAACTACTCCCTTGAAAATCAGAGTTGTCCACAGTTGTAGTGAAATTCATTCCTGATGGTGCTTACTGGGTTCCACTCTGGTGCCAGAAGCTGAACTGGAGACTGACCATGTTCCTTCAAAGATCCTCAGCAGTGCAAAAGGGAAGCGCCTTTCTGAGGGAGCCAAGCTTGCATCTAGACCTTCACAGTGATGCAACATAACTTCTCACAGGTCGGCATGGTACCATTCAGTGAATCTGGGAATTTCAGGAGGAGACCAAGTGTCAGTACAGTGTCTGCTGAAGTGCGATGCCTGACTTCTTAGGAAAGGCAATAACTCACTAGAAGCAGGCCCCTCAGATCCATAGGTGGACTGAAACCAGGGTTACTCAGCCAACAGGGACTGGTTGAGTGGCCGGAAGGTGCGACGGCTGACCATCCTCTTGTTTAACAGCAATGTGTGGGATTTCTTGTCCCTGGGGGTGTAGCAGAGCACAGCATCCAAAGAATAATTGGTGACCTGGCCACTGATGTGTAGTTTCCCATAGATCTCATCAAATTTGGCCACAAGGGCAGGCACATCCTTCACTTTTTCTCTCACTTTGGCCAGCTGGAAAAAAGCAAGAACAGATCATTACATCTCTGCAAGATTTCTTCCTTGTTCTTACTATAACTCTTAGAAAAAGAAATGGAAATGAACAAAAATGTATGGTAGGCCAGATGCGGTGGCTCATGCCTTAATCCCAGCAATTTTGGAGGCTGAGACAGGAGGATCACTTGAGCACAGGATTTCTAGGCCAGCCTAGGCAACACAGTGAGACTTTGTACAAAAAAATTTTTTAAAAATTAGTTGCTGTAGTGGGAGGATCACTTAAGCCCAGGAGGCAGAGGCTGCAGTGAGCTGTGGTCATGCCACTGTACTCCAGCCTGGGTGACAGAGTGAGTCTTTAAAAAAAAATTATGGTATGTATACACCTAAAATGGTGAAAACCAGGGTAGTGGGGCACACAGACGGAAGTATTACTATGAGGGATTCCAAAAGCTACACAAAAAGTCCAAAATTAGTACTTGAAAATCATACCTAATATACAAGGGGGGTTCAAATAACACATCATATATAATGAAACACACCAAGTAAAGGAGGTCATACACCAGTGGAATCAACTTTGTTCCATGTAATGATTAGAGCAGGAGGAGGCAGGCCAAATTATATAGGGCTTTATATACATTTCACAGTAAGTTTTTTGAAATTTATTCTAAAAAAGCCATCGGAGCATCTAAAGTGGGATATGATCTCATTTATGTTTAAAAAGTTACATAGAGAATGAACTGGAGTGTACAGAAATGTGGAGACTATTCTGGAGGCCCACACCACAGCCCATATAAGAAAGGATGGTAGTTTAGATTGGGAAAGGTACAGAAAAGATGGAGAAGTACACATATGTGAGGTATATTTTGGAGTTTACACTGAAAGGACTAATTTTTGAATAGGTGAAGGAAAGGGAGGAGTCAAAGCTATCTTCTCAACTGGGGCTTCAGTAGCTGGATGATGGGTGCTACCATTTCCTGATAGAGAAGACAGGGAGGATGAGATTTGGAAGGGAAAATCAAGAGCTCTGTTTGGACCTGATTGAGATGGCTGTGAAACACCTAAATGGGTATGTCTAGAAGGTTGTTGGATATACAAGTCTGGGACATGAAGGAGAGGTCTGGGCTAGAGGCATACATAGTAGAGTCACAAGTATATGGTGGTATTTAACCCCAAAAATGGGTGAACTAGAATGGAGAATGTGAAGCTACTTTCTGAATAAAATCAGTATTTTACTTAGTTCAATCCTTATCAAGGGTAGAATCTCAACACATTTCTTGATGGAATTGAATTGGGATGAAGCTTCCTAACAAATCCTTTGGCCCTCTTCCAAATATATAACACTATTTGCACCTGCACATCTTCCTTTATGACAACGGTTCCCAACTATACCTGCAGACAAGCAGCTTAAGCACTTCTTAATGTTCTTAAAAAAGAATAGCTTGTTTAGTCCTCATGTTCAAGGTGAAAATGACTTAACGTGCAGCATATGGCTTCTAAAAGCAGCAGAGCAAACATGCCAAGCTGGAGGTAATTTTGATCTAAAAACTGTAACAGTTCTGTTACATAACTACAGAAATAAATCAGCAATTCTTTTCAATAGTCCTGTGGTGGTATAATAGCACCTATGATACTTTATAGTCTTATCTCCCTACATGACACATTTTAAATAACTGTTGGCATAAACATTAAATCCACCATTTGTAAAATGCAGACTTTTACAATATAAGACTCCACTTGCAATCTCACACATATATATTTAGAACTAGCTCCAAAGCTACTGGAATTACATGAATCAATCCATTTCTCATCAAGCAGTTCCTTGAGTGGTCCCACAGTAACCAGAGGGAAGACACCGAACTAGAGGTTCATTTTCTAAGTAAAAGAGTCTTATATGAGTATTTTTTCAATATGAAGTTTGTTTGGGTGCTTTAGCCATACAAATGGGTGACAATGTATTGATGGATCAGGTCTAAGGAATGATTGTTAACATCAATGCTGCTGAGAAAACGGAAGTTGCATTTGACATGTACGCACACACACAACTATGCACTTTAAAATCTGTTCATGCTTCTACTTTCCCTACTTTGCTAAACTTACTCCAAAAGGGTTGGGTGGGTCACAGCCTACACAGAGCTAAGACCGCAAATAGAAAGAAGCTTTAAATCAACCATATCCAGTCAGTCATTTTCCTGACAAGCTCCCTTTTATCAGCAGGAAGAAGCCTTTGGGTGGAAGTGAGGAAATGGAACAGGGCTGGGAAGGCAACACTGAGCAGGAGGAGGAAGCAGCCACTGCCCTCTAGTGCCAATCCTGCTGCAGCCCGGACCAAACTATAAAAGGGAGAGGCAGGAGAAATGAGGGAGGAAGGGAGGACCAACCAACAGGTCGCCTGGTTGGTCAAAATGACAATATCAGTATTATCACTAACAACATGATCACTGTCAATAATGTACAATTTTTTTACACTTCTTTCACCTTGTTACATGCTATGAGAGACATACAAATTACTATATTTCAAATGACCTACAAGAATTCCAATTTGTGTACTTAAGCCATCAATGTGACACATGGGTTCATTTGTTTCATTTCACTTTCCATTTTTAGGAATTGCTTTTTCTCTTCATTTTTATTTAACTTTGCTTTATAGTTCTGCAAACATTTAAATAGTTCCTAAGTTAAATATACAAACAAGGTACATTTGGAGAAGTCATGCTTCAATCCCTCATTTTCACTTTCAAAACTTTTATTTCTTAATTTTTTTAAGTAAATTAAAAAAATAATTTGTCAATTATTTTCTCAAATAATAATTGTGTAAATTTATAAAGTTCAATGTGATGTTTCAATCTATGTGTACACCATAGAAAGATTCAGTCAAGCTAATAAACCTATTCATCACCTACCAATGTGTCTTTTTCTGCAGTGAAACATTAAAAATCTACTCCTTTGGCATTTCTGAAATGTGCATAATAATTAACTGTGGTTCCTAAAGTCTCAACCAAAAAAACCTTTAGAACTGATCAAGTCAGTAAAGCTGCAGGTTACAAAATTTACATACAAAAATCAGCAGTATTTCTATAAAAAAAGATCTGAAAAAGAAATCAACATAACCACTTAAGTTTTGCTTTTTCCATCCGTAGTGTTTTCCAAAAATGTAAATGTATAAAAATAACTATATGGTCCCACCTTCTTAAGGCATACCACGCATACCCATTTGCATCTTGCTTTTGTCACTTAAAAACATATTTAAGTGATCCATATAAATGGTGATCCGTAACAGTGTATGATGTAGCTGTTCCTCATTTCCTGTGAGTTACATGGCAGTCCTTTGTACGAACAGACCCTAATTTGTACAACTAGTCCTTTACTGATGGAAATTTGGGCTTTTTTCCAGTCTGCAGTTCTTACAAATTGGCCTGCAACAAATAGCCTTGTACATACAACTTCTTTATATTTGCCAGTATATTTTTAGAATATACTCCAAGAAGTGGGAGGATTGAGTCAAAGGGTGAAATTATTTGTAGTGTACCAATCTGTATTCCCTCTAGCAGCATCAGATGAAAGTGCCCATTTCCTCAGAGCCTCACCAACCAAGTAGGCTGGCAAACTTGCAGATTTCTATTCAAGAGAAATATCATAGGGTAGTTTTATTTTGCATTTCTCTTGATATGGTCAAGAGAATCTTTTCTAATGTTTAAAGGCCATTCACGATTCATTGTTAGTAAATTCTATCCACATCTCTTACCCATTTTTCTTTAGGGTTGTTGGTTCTTTTCTTAGAATTTTCAAAAAGAGCTCTTTTTTTTTTTTCCCCAGATGGAATCTCATTCTGTCCCCAGACTGGAGTACAGTGGCGCAATCTCGGGTCCCTAGTTCAAACGATTCTCCTGCCTCAGCCCCTAAGCAGCTGGGACTACAGGTATGCACCACCACGCCCAGCTAATTTTTATAATTTTAGTAGAGATGGGGTTACATTTTGGCCAGGATGGTCTCGATCTCCTGTCCTCATGATACGCCTGTCTCAGTCTCCCGAAGTGCTGGGATTACAGGAATGAGCCACCACACCTGGCCTCAAAAAGAGCTCTTGAAATATTAGGGCTAGTTAGCCTTTTGTCAGTATGATTAAAAACTGTACTTTCTTCCAATTTGTTACCTACCTCTTGACTTCGCTTGTGGACTTTTTGCCACACGAAAAAACAGGTTTTCACATTTTTTAGTCAAATTTATCACTTCTTTTACTGATTTGGATTTTGACTGAAAGCTAAGTTTTTGCACTCCCAGGACATTAAATAATCTACTAATGTTTATATCTACTACTTGTGTGTTTCAATTTAAAAATTTAAATTCTCATCCATTTGGAATATATCCTGGTTTGTGGTATAAGAACATATACAACTGTATCTTTTTCTATTGGCTCTCTACTTATCCTAGTACTACTTACTAGTCTATCCATTTAGATTGATTTGAGATGCTTGCCTCTATGTTACACTAAATTTGTATCTGCAATTCGGTCTCTATCTGGACTTTCTATTCTGTCCCATTAGCTGCCTTATTCATGTTCTAAGCCACAGTTTGCATTGTAGAAACTTTAACATGTTTTGAGATCTGCTAGACCTAGCAACTCTTACTGCCCCTCTTTCACAGGGCTTTTCTAGCTAGTCTTGTTTGTTCAACTAACCTTTACAGAAAAAAAAAAAGAGTGATATTTTTATTGCAGTCATACTACATTATCACAGTAACTTGAAAAAAACTGAGTTTTTATGAGGGTAGGTCTTCTTATCTAAACACATGGTCTGTCTTTTCATTTGTATAGAAGACTGTTTTTCTTTTTTAAGATGAGAGATAGTATATCCTACTATTTGCTGACAAGAAGGAGTCACAGGGAAGGGGATACTGATGATGCCCAAAAGAGTGAGTCAACCTCTGGACTGATGCTGCGGAGTGGGTCAGAGGGGATGGGATCCAGTGCACGACTGGAGAGGCTGGCGTGAGAGGCGTATCCAGTCGTCATGGGATCACGGGTATATAGGGTAAGGGGCCAGAGGTTGTCCATGTAGCAGTCATTGTCTTTGGATTACTTCTATTTTCTCCATGAAACAAGAAATAAGGTGATCAACTGAGAGTGAAAAGTGAGGAGAAGGTATTGGAGGCTTGAGTGAAAAGGAAAAATGTGTAAAATTGTCCTCTAGAAGGAAAAGGGAGCCAAGGCTCATGAACACAAAGTGTGGAGAAAAGAATAAGGTAAAAGGAAAAAGTTTCCTAGAATTTCAGAGGATATATTCTGTTGGAAGAAAAAAAAAATCTTTGCACATATACATGGAAGTCTTAAAACAGGAACAACAGAGAAGCTGCCATATTTGACAATTTCTTTAAGGTAAGCTTTAGAATTGAGAAATTAGTGAACATTTTCAAGAGTGTCCTTTCACTTTCAAATGATTTCTGCAGCACTTGCATACTCACCACTTCCTCTGAGAACATATGTCTTTTCACAAATTTTGATAAATTTCCTTCCGCAGCATTTGTTAGAGTCTCTATCAGGTTTTCCAATGCATTTGACTGGATATGGATTATAACCTGAATATTAAGAAGACACAAACAAAACCAAGACTTAGTCAGTGTCTCAATGCTAAGAAATGCACCTGGTTAGATAAGCCTTCATTTACAGGCAACTACCCTGCTTTGATCCTACTTCCTTATTTGCTTGCACAAGTTCAAAAAAGTGCTTTAAATGTACACTCACGAGCCAAAGTGTGCTTTCCAATAGTTAGTCAAAATACTACAACTTTGCCTGTAATCCCAGCACTTTGGGAAGCCAAGGCGGGCAGATCACGAGGTCAAGAGACAGAGACCATTCTGGCCAACATGGTGAAACCCCATCTCTACTAAAAATGCAAAAATTAGCCGGGCGTGGTGACACGCACCTGTAGTCCCAGCTACTTGGGAGGCTGAGGCAGGAGAATCATTTGAACCTGGGAGGCAGAGGTTGCAGTGAGATTGTGGCACTGTAATCAAGCCTGGCAACAGAGCAAGACTCCATCTCAAATAAAAAAAACAAAAAACAAAAACAAAAACAAAAAACAAAAAAAGCCTACAACTTCAAAACTTGTTTAAGGGTAACACTGGAGAGAGCAGAGATTTTGGTGCCTGGATACCTGGGCTGAAATCCAGACACTGGCAAGTACGAGCTAAGTGACTCTGGACTGGTACTTAATCTTCCAATTTAAATGCCCTCATTTGTAAAATGGGGAAAATAGATTTAGATCTCACATTTTGGGTTTTATGAACATTAAATAAAATACCAGTATACTCAGCGAACAAAAATATTGGTTTCCTCCTTTCTACATCCTCTAGATTCAGAGGATAAGACAATCAGACAGTCTCATAAGACTAGTGATATGGTTTGGCTTTGTGTCCCCACCCAAATTTCATCTTGAATGGTAATCCCAAGGTGTCAGGGGAGGGACCTGGTGGGAGGTGATTGGATCATGGGGATGGTTTCCCCCATGCTGTTCTCATGATAGTGAGTGTGTTCTCATGAGATCTGATGGTTTTATAAGTGGCAGTTGCCCTTGCTCTCTCCCTTTCCTGCTGCCTTGTGAAGAAGATACTTGCTTCTCCTTCGCCTTCCCCCATGATCGTATTTCCTGAGGCCTCCCCAGCCATGTGATACTGTGAGTCAATTAAACCCCTTTCCTTTATAAATAACCCAATCTCTGGCATTTCTTTAAAGCAGTGTGAAAACGGACAACCAGAACTGGCTAGGGGCAAATGGTACCTTCAGCATTTTCTGTTGTTAGGAAGTTGCAGACACACAGGTTACTGCAGGCATAGAGTGGAAGCTGGCGGAAATGTTAATGAGGCACTCCTATTTACACTATCTATTAATGAACTTTCAAAACTGGGTGCTGTAGTGTGCTTTCAAAATGACACTATCACCTATCTTCCACCAGATAGGTTCAACTAACACAAGAAAAAACACATTTCCTCCCTAATTACCAATATTCACTAGTATAATTCAAGAAAAAGTTTAAAGAAAGTGCAAATAACTGAGAATTCACCAACTGATGTTACAACCACTGTTTATAATTTGATGTATAAATCTTCCAAACCCAAAATGTGATTCTACTTTTGGTCAATTACTATACAATAGACATTTATTTCCTCATAGCATTAATATTAGAAAAAAGAAACCTCACTTTTTAACACATACATAGCAATTCATCATGGAAATATACCATACTTTATTATACTGACCAATGTGTACACATGTACTTTGAAAAACTGGTAATGTCTTAGACTTGATTCCCAGAAGTGAAATTACTAAGTCAAAGCATAGAGATATTTTAAGGCTCTTGATCCTTACAAAAGATAGTTTTCCTGGAAGAGATTTACCTTTCTTATATTAAACCAGCTGTTTTCTCACCAGTCTATTTGGTAACATTTTGTATTTGTTTAGTAACTTATCAGGATGAGGGGTTGTCTTTGGTTCTGAAGAAGAGAATGAAATGATCCCATGTAGACTAAATACAAAGAACATAATTTAAATTCAGTGTTCTAAAGCCCAGGAAAAATCATGAGCACACCCTTTTTGGGAGACAACTCTCCATGGGTCGCTCAAATTTCTGCACGCCTTGAGAGCAAAAGCACTGACTGCTGTTATTCCAGACTACCTTTTCAAGGATGTTTGTGGACAACAGACACAGTGTCACATCCAAAGCAAAGGACAGGCATGCTTATTGGCCATCATAAGAGAGTTGGGTTTTCTAAGCTCAGGGTTCCTCTCTTGAAAGCAACTTGCTATGTGTGCAAGAGGCACATAGAGCTTTTTATGTCTCCCCGCAGGAACTGGGGCTCAGGTAACTGAAGCAAAGATGCTAATATTCTGGCCACTGCTACACAATAAATTGTCCTTTATTTCTCTTTGTCTTGTATACTCCACTAGCATCCATGAAACTGGGGCAGGCTAACTCATTAGATTCCAAGTGGGAAAAAATCTCTGACTCTTCACAGTTCTTAATACCTTTGTTAGTAAAAGCCAATCCCAATTTGGTTGACGGTGGTGTCCAAGGCAAAGGCAAGTCTACCTTGTTCAATGCAATGCTATGTAGTACAAGGCACCCGGCCAACCCTCAATAACAATAAACAAGAAAAGGAGCTTGGCTCCCCCAGCAATTTACAAAAATAAACCTTCTAGAGCACTCTGCTAGAAACGATGTGCTCCCTGGGAGATTTCAATATTTCTTCCTAAGTTTTCCCAACTTCTCTTCCTCCCTCCAGCAACTATCTCTGATTCAGTAGGGACTTCAAAAACAAGGCTCACTACCTTAAAATACATTGATGAAGGGCAATGCACATGAGGCAGTTACTGATAAAAGGCAAAGAGAAAGTTTAAAGCTAGGGGCTTATCTCAAACCAGTCTCAGGGTTCAGCTAAAGAAAACGAAAGTAGGGTACAGCACATTGCCTTAATCTTACAGATTTCAAACAAAAGACTGGGAAACTCAGTTAGTAAGGAACAGGGGAGATTTTGGTAAGAAAAACTATTTAAAGAACATGTGCTTCCTGCCTCTGATTTTCTGAGGCATCAGGAAATACATTACTAGATACCTTTGAACAAAAAAGGGAACAGAAGCCCTGAGGATGCAGAAATTTACATTTCTTGTTTCTTTTATTTTTGTTTTAGGTTTGCTATATTCGAAGTAGAATATCATAATGTGGTAGAGGCTGCCAGTTTTCTAACCAATATCCATTCTCTCCTCCCTTTTTGATAACAGAACACCCAAACCTTAATAGATGCTTTCATGTATGTATGAAACTCAAAGACTTTCTCAGTATTCTTTGCAATTAGGTGCGGTCATGGGATTAAGTTCTGGCCAATAACACCACCAGTACAAGTTGCTGGATGAGACATTTGAAAAAGCATATTTAAAAGGGATGAACTTCTTTGTTCACTCCCATTTTTTCCTACTTCTTGCTGGACCGGGGATGCAATGAATGGAAGTCACGTGTTAAAGATGGTAGAATAGAAACATAGAAAGAGGCTGGGTTCCTGATGACATCATGGAATGCCACACCAGGCGTGGACGGACCAGACTCGTTTTCCACATGGAAGAAAAATAAAGGCTCTAATTTGTATAGGCTTTTATTTTTATTTTTGGAGACTACAATGCTCCCAAACAAATGCAATTCTTAACTCACACATATGAGTAAGATGCTGCCACGAAGGAATTTGTGAGAAATGAGTCCTGTCTCCTTTCCTCCCTGTGCACCCTAGACTTCCCAGCATAAGCTAGAACTGTAGGGTGACCTAAGTGGGTAGGAGAAAGGGGCATTAAGACATTCACCCATATTAACAAATAAATGATAAAAGCAGCAAAACCACTTGTCAATTCCCTTGCAAAGTAAATTCAATTCCAAAGTGGATCTCCAATTGTAGACAAGCCAGGTTTATAGACAAATTCAGGCTGAAAAGGCAGTGTCAACATACATGTGTTTTGATGAGATCTGTTAAAACAACGCAGTACGTATTAAGAATTAGCTGGGAAAATAGGAAACTGGGCCCTTTGGGTCACACTGGTAACAGGAACAATTTAATAAAACAATTAAGTTAGGGAGAAAATTTGTAAGTTCAAATTTCAATTGACAGCAGCAAAAGATTTTAGCATAAGGCATTAATTTTTAAAGCACATCAGAAAAAAAGTTTCATTTATTTCTGTGAATACTGACTAAACAGACTCTACTCAGCCTATCTGTCAGTTTCCATTGCTCAATAATTAACAAGTTGCCTTTAAGGATTTCAAGCAGATGAGTCAGCCTTGGAGAAGGTAAGGTCCATGCAGTCATTTTTTAAACTGTGCTCTACTAACAGACACCTAGAATCTAAAAGATTACTAAACTTGAGAATGGCAACCATATCTTTTTCATCATCCCCGAGGAAGATGACATAGGCTTATATTGCAACATGAGAAATTTGGGTTGAACATTTGAAAGAATTTCCTGAGAATTTTTAAACACTGAAACTATCTTTAAGTTTCCCGACAGTGGGTAGTTCTGTGACGCAGTTCAGAAAGGATGATTCATACTCAGTATCACTTCAAGGTTCCTTGCGGAGTCCTTGCCTGAAACACGCCCATCCCACTGCATCCATAGGCTGACTTTCTTTTCCAGCCCTCAGAGGAAAGGAGCTGTTCCTGCTGCCTGGTGGCAAGCACATGCTTTTTTCACCATGCCCTGCATTGCTCCTCCTATTGGGAATGGACAATCTCATGCTCAGCAAGCTCATGTTTAACTCCACCAAAGCACCTTCTCATTTGGCGAAAAAAAAAAAAAAGAAATCAAATCATTACTAGATTCTTTCGGTTGTTGTTGGAGACAGGGTCTCATTCTGTTGCCCAGGCTGGAGTGCAATGGCGTGATCTCCACTCACAGCAGCCTTGACCTCCCAGGTTCAAGCAATCCTCCTGCCTTAGCCTCCCAAGTAGGCCAGGATTACAGGCATGCACCACATTCAGCTAATTTTTGTATTTTTAGTAGAGATGGGGTTTCACGATGTTGGCCAGGCTGGTCTTGAACTCCTGACTTCAAATAATCCACCTACCTCACCCTTCCAAAGTGCTGAGGTTACAGGCATGAACCACCGCACCCAGCCCATTACTAGATTCTTATAACTGTGAGAGATAGGCCAGGATGGAAGGAGATGAGAAATCTAAATCCAGAGGTGGATTACATGCACTAGTGGGATTGTGTTTTTTGACATCCAGTCTTGTGTTCTTTTTATTACTCAAGAGGAGACACTAATCCTATTCCTGGATAAAAGAGACACACTTTTTCATCTCTGTAGGTCTGAAGTGGTAGGGAAACCCTAGGCTTCACAGTCAGAGTTGTTGGTGTTAAAACTCTGACTCTGCTATTTAATTAGTTGGGAGAACTAAGGTAATTTACTTACCCTTGAATCTTCATTTTCCACATCTATAATGTGGAGAAAAATTGTTTTGATAAAGTTGTATAACAAATCTAAAGTACCAAGCATGATACCTTAGATAAATTAAATTAAAACCCTGCTTACCTCACAGTTTGATTGCTTATCACCAATGCGTACCAAAACCCTCAACCTTGCTTGAACTCTAGGAAAAGTGACCAATGATCCAAGTAAAACACTTTTCCCCCTGTTCTCCTTTCTTTCCTACCTGATGTTATAAGAGACTTGGATAGCTTTAGCTTTAGTGAAAGAGTATCTTGCTAATCCCAGCAGTTATATTCTGTCCCATCATGATAGATGGGTCATCTAAAGGACACACTCTCAGAAGCAGTTATATACTGGAATACCAGAGCTGTCCATATCCAGCAGGAAGCAGAGAAGTCAAAGACATAGTGTGCCTGCTGGAAGACCAGGCTTCCCAGTCTGTTTAGCTTACTGATATCACTTGCTCAAATGACCCGACCTTCTGGACTCTGGACCTTTGCCAACCTTGGCCTCCCAGACCTGCTTTAGCCTATGAGCTTTTCAGACTGACCCACCTGCTCTGACCTGTAGTTTCTGTTTCAGCCCCCAAGATGAACAGCAGCTACCTGCAGCAGGCTAAGACAGGGAGGGCTCTCAGCCTCTTGAATTTCTACAAAGCTGCGAGTCCTTCCCTCTTTTCTGGTGCTTCCCCTGCCTCACCATTAATGCCTTATAAACTCATTTCTGAGCCCTCATACTTCCCTGCTTTCTTATGGCATTCATCAGTTCATATCAAATCCATTATCAGGTATATTTAGTTGAGTTCATGCCCTCCAGGTTTACGCCCTTTGAAAATAAAAAGTCTCTTTGTCGATATTTTTCTAGTATTTTGTTTCTTCCATTCCAAATTCATTTCATTTTTTCAAGTTCTCTGTTATCACTGTCTCCATTTTTCTGGTTCGCTGGGCTCACCTTTCTCTCATGTAAAAGCATTTTGCAAAGTAAAGTTGAGGTCCAATATGAGGTATTCTTATGGTATATTTCTTGCCTGACCTTGTTCTCCAAAATTTACCATAAATGCTCATCTAGTCATTCTCTGAAAAATCACCTGGGCACTGGTGTGGGATGACATTTGAAGATAACTACTATGGGCAGAACTGAAAAGCATTATTATCTTTAAGTATGACTCTTTCAGAAGTTTGGAGTTATGCATAATTCCTGTTCACTAGGTTCTAGGATTTGGTACAAATGAATATTCCTTTTAATTTAACTCATGTCAAACAAATACTATTAGTATTAGCAAATACTCATTGAACACTGACTACCTGCCAGGCACTATGCTAACTATTTTATATGCATTATTTATTTTAATCCCCACAACAAAAAGATAGCTACTATTACTGTTTCAGATCAAAGGAAATTGGGGGGTTTCCAGGGGCAAATTAACCTAAGGACTCAGAGCTAGTAAGAGGTGGTTACAATTCATAGTTCTTTTTTTTTTTTTTTTTTTTAAGACAGAGTCTTGCTCTGTTGCCAGGCTGGAGTGCAAAGGTGCGTTTTTGACTCACTGCAACCTCTACCTTCCAGGCTCAAGCAATTCCCCTGCCTCAGCCTTCTGAGTAGCTGGGACTACAAGCAAGCGCCACCACGTCCGGCTAATTTTTTATATTTTAGTAGAGATGGGGTTTCACCATGTTGGCCAGGATGATCTCGATCTCCTGATCTCGTGACCCACCTGCCTTGGCCTCCTAAAGTGCTGGGATTACAGGTGTGAGCCACCGTGCCCAGCCACAGTTCATATTCTTTTAAATAGAAGCTCCACCAAAGCCAATCTCCCAACAAATAACACGCTCCACGTCATTCCCTCCAACCCCACAGTCCTGTCTTCCTCCAGAGCACTGCTCAGTAGGTACCTGCCCTAAGGGCCCCTCACGTTGCTCCTGCTGGCCACCCCGACCCCCTTCATCTACTCATCTTGGAATACTCCATTGATTGTGACCTGTTATCCTAGTTGTGTCATGCTAATGCTTACACATTTCCATTCTTCTGAAAATGTTTTCTTCATCTCAATCCTTTGACTGTTTCAGAAGACTATAAGCTCCTGAAAGTTTTTTTCTTTTGCAACTCCCTACACACAAGCAGACGCAGTATACAAGGAGTCTCAATATGGGCAGGCTGAATGGGGACTATGGTGTCCTTAATGACAAGATAGTCTTTTATAATTGGTCCAGGAAGGTTTCATGACTCACTGTTCAAACTCTGGAAGTGGTAATATGCCTCAAACTTTATTATTAGCATGAATCTGGCGAATTTGAGATAATTTTTTTTCCTTTGCTTTTAGTTTTAGGGATTAAGGTTTTGCATGTCTTGGTGATACGCGTGCAGCCACTTGCTGACCCAGACCACAAGGTCCCAAATAAGTGTCCTGGGTGGCCCAGGTAAGTTAATGGGGAAGAGGACCATGGCATACTGGCAACATAATAAGAATGACAATAGATAATATTTACTGAATGTTTACCACATGTCAGGCACTATTTTGTGTACCATAAGTATATAAGCTGATTAACTGCAACAATGCCATGAGTTAGATACCACCAATAATATGCAGTTAGCACATAGGTTTCTCTCAAGGCTTGGTAAAGACCCTGGAGGATCTGTCTCCATCCCCTCCTCGTCCCTACATCTACAGCTTTCTTAGCCACGCCTCATGTCTTCAGCATCTAGCCATGTCTTATATATGAGCATATCTACCTCTCTCCTACCTGTTTACAAACTCCTGGAAGCAACAGCTGTGTTGATTCTTCTCACAAGGGTGATACTGTAATTTTTCACATAGAGGAACTCAATAAATGACTGTGGATTTGAATGAAAACCTTGGCAGATCAAGTCATTGTATACAGCCAAAAAATTTAAGCATAATTTTATTATAATACATTTATTATAATACATTTCAAGGCTTACCTTAAACCACAAAGAAGGCACTTACATTTAAATTAGTGCAGGCTATGCTTTCTGGATTCATGATTTGAGAAAAAATGGACACAGCTTTTGCCAACTCATTCTAGAAGGAAGAGAAACAAATCATATTCCATATCATAGGAACTAATGTTATTGTAAAAGTTCACTTAGAGAAGGCAGTATATTCCTATTAAGGTGACCTCAGGGTTTTGAAGTCCACAAAGAAAAAATGTTTCGGAAATCAAAACTGAACACTCCATAAAACGCTCCATCCAGTCGCATATTGTTGAATGTTTTAACAGCCTGCCTGAGTCCAGTTCTTAAGACGCAGGCATAAAGTTGGCATTTCCCCTTCTCCTATTGGAATCAGCTTCTAAAAATAGGAACGAGGAACAAAGTGCAAAGCCTGTCTTTGACATACATAATTAGAACATAGAAACCTCAAACCACAGCAGAGCTGGAAACACTGCCAGAAACATTGGAAATGGAGGCTGGCAGGGTTCAGGAGAAAGCAGTCAGAGGTGGACAGTGCTCTGTATCTCACAAAGAACCTACAACAGTACAACTCTCAAAGGTAAGGGCACAACCTAAAGTACAAAACCTAAATTCCTATTTACAATGATGAGAACAGAGTGTAGGACTAGTAAAGAGAACTTCCGTGGATCCTTGTGGTGGCAGAGAAGAGGCTAGTCAAGCGTTTCCGTAGACAAGCCATATTCATAGGAAGCAGGAGGTTCCTAAGACGGCAGCAGCAGAGAAGAGACTGCATACCAAAACCCACCTCAGTGTCTATTTCTGTTGACTTAAAAAAATGAAGCCTGTGTATACTTGTAGACAAAACTCTGGCTTATATGAAGAAAAATCCTGCTAGTCTAGAACAGTGCTCTGGTGTCCCGCTCTGTTGTTCTCTCTCTCTCTGACATGAATCTACAAATGACTGATCTAAAAGAAACAAGTTTTTCTTTTATTTTTGAATTTATTTATTTATTTGTTTATTGAGACGGAGTCTTGCTCTGTTGCCCAGGCTGGAGGGTAGTGGTGGAATCATGGAGCCTCAAACTCGTGGGCACAAGCTATTTTCCTGCCTCAGTCTCCTGAGCAGCAAGGACTACAGGCATGTACCATGTACTACTGCACCTGTTTTATTTATTTACCTATTTTTTGTAGAGACAGGGTCTCCCTATGTTGTCTTGGCTGGTCTTAAACTCCTGGCCTCAAGTGATCCTCCCCTCTCCCAAAGTGCCAGGATTACAGGCAGGAGCCATTGTGCTAGGCCTGAAACTTACACTTTTCAACGATGAATAGTCAAAAAAGAACCACCACATGACACTCATAAAGAAGGTATTTTCAAAAGGAGGAAAGGAACACAGTAGAACAAAATTAAGAAAACAATTGGTACAGTGGCTCACGCCTGTAATCCCAGCACTTTGGGAGGCTGTGGCAGGCAGATCACTTGAGGTCAGGAGTTCAAGACCAGCCTGGCCAACATGGCGAAACCCTGTCTCTACTAAAATACAAAAATTTAGCTGGGAACACACCTACTAAAACACAAAAATTTGACGGGCGCATGCCCGTAATCCCAGCTACTCAGGAAGCTGAGGCAGGAGAATCACTTAAACCCAGGAGGCAGAGCAGAGGTTGCAGTGAGCCAAAACTGCAACACTGCACTCCAGCCTGGGCGACAGAGTGAGACTCTGTCTAACCAAAAAAAAAAAAAAAAAAAAAAAAAAAGAAAAGAAAAGAATATAACTGGCCACCAATGAAGAAACCTTAATTGAAAAATATTTCCATGGATATAGAAGATAGAAATGAGAAAAATGAACAAGATCACGTCAATCAGAAGTGGAAGAAAAATCAGGCAGGCCTTAGATTTCTCCACAGCAATATTCTATACCAGAAGACAGAAAAGCAATGTCTAAAAGTACCTCAAGAAAAGCAAATGTCACCCTGAAATTGTAAATCTGGCCAAACTGTAGTTCAAGTACAGAAACAACAGGCAAATAAAATAATTTAAAATACCAAGAACTCAAGGGATATTGTTCCTCCAAAGAATTTACTAAAATACTCACTTCAGCCAACAAAGAGAAAACTGGAAAAACAATTAGCACCTAACAACCTGTTTAGCTATACAAAGGACTCAAAAGTGGGGAGTATGGCTACAGAACAGAGCGTAAATGTTATATGCCTGGACAATGAAGCAACGTTAACACTAACGAAAGTTAGAAAGAGAAGGAAAAGAGATGAAAGGTAAAGAAGGCATTCCCACTTATCTTTATTATCAGCAGGCCAAAAAATATCACTTAAAACTGACAAATCAAGTACATTTAAGAGTAAAGTGAACACTATCAAAGTAAAATATGAGCTAAAATTGGATGTTGGAGGGGGAGGAAGAAAATAAGATGAAAAACAGAGGAAATACACTATTTTCACCATTACTTATATTAGGGAATTAACAGGTCTTGTCCAAAGAATTAAAGAATTAAGAAAATCAAAACTATAGTTTTAAAGTCACCACTAGAGCAAAAATACCAACTAGAGAAAATAACCACATGGCATAAGATAGTAGAAAAACTTACAGAAACAAAAAGCATCAAATGAGACCTAAGATCAAATATGTCATATTAATATAAATGGATATTAAAAGATTAGCATATTATAAAGCAACATAGAAATTTATGCAGTATATAAGAGATAAAGTTCAAACAAAACAATTCAGAAAGATTGCAAAAATAAAGGATAGGAAAAGGTGTACGTTGGGCAAATGCAAACCTCATCAAAACAAAGAGAGAAATAAGCAAAAAGAGGGATGGAATTATTAATATTAGATAAGGTTGAATTCAGGGCAAAAGCAGTAAACATTCCTAGATAGGCACTTTATAATGCTAAAGTGAGGGATTCACAGTGATGATGTAACAGTGATGATGTATCTGTGCACCAAACAGTATAACTTAGACTTAAATAAAGAAAAACTACAGGAGCTATACAAAGAAAGAAAAACACATGTCTTCGAAGAGACTTTAATTCAGTCACTCACCTCATGACAGATTAAGAAGACAAAATAATTCCCCTGGACAGCGAGAGAAGCTTAGAAAGTTAAAAAAATTATCTTGGCCCAGCAGAAGCCTACAAAGTGTATAATCTCTTAAGTCTCGTCCTTCAGTGACTCTTCCCAGCAGTATATGGAAATGGATCACCCTCATGTTTTGATTTCTAATAATAAAGAGTTCTCCAGCTATATTTTACCAGCCAGGAAAACAACCTGGTTTGGTTACTATTTTTCTGCTATAAAATTTCCTTTTACCACATAGGAAACATACAAAGCATTTCATATTTTTTAGGCTCTGGAATAGGAAATCTCAGGTGAGGCTCTTCCAGAGGGATGTGTGTTCCAGGGTTCCAGCTCTAACTCTGGCATCACTGAGGCATGACCTCAGGGAGGTCCCCTCTTATCTCTGGGTCTCTGCTACCTCCACCTGTCCAGTCAGGGGAATGAGGCTAAATGATCACTAAAGTCACCCAAATAACAGCAGTAGTTGGGTATAACTATGAAGTATGTGATGGATCCCACTTCTACAATGGGCTGACACAGCAGTCTTCATTCATCTGAGGCTAATTCAACTTTGGAAAGCATTAAATTAAACTGTTCTCTGAGAACGTTACAACGTTATCCGATGACTTGCAATTTTCATTTTAATTACTTGAGAAATTTCTCTACCCTTCTATTTAGAAATGCATGTTAGGTCCCCAACTGTAAATATAAACATTCTTTGCCGGTACAGGTATAGATATAGGTTGCCATGGCAACAAAGGCAGTGGTCTCTTTATGGGGACTACTTCTTTATGACACAGTCAGAAGGAAAAAAGTAAAAGCAAGGACAAATAAAAGTAATGAAGTCCTGGCCACTCCCAGTTTACTTATGTACACCACAAAGCTTTACCTGATTCAGAGCTAATGCCACAGCGAAACAGGATGCTCTCCTGGAGAGAATTTCTCCTTTGAGTAGAGCTTCTTCTCTTAATGTAGTACAGATTTTGAAAGACTCAGGGCTATTCTGTGAGGAGACAGGATTGTTCGATTAATGTTATAAACCTTTAAATTCAATAAAATGATTAATAGTGCTCAATATTTAGAGTTCCTTTTGTAAGGATTTCCTAGAGCCTACCTTAAGCCACTTAAAAGATTAAGCCCCATATAAACACTATTTGCAAATACACCAGGCTACTGATATGTTTGCAGGTCAAATCTAAATTAACTTTATTTTTAAAGCTCATTTTCAATTTTCTGAATCGGGGCAGTTTTTACCAGAAAATAAACACATCTCTTTGTATCTGGGCAGGCTAGTTTCTAGACACAGACCCCATAGTTTACAAGTATAAAGGTTCTGCCTGCTACTATATTAAATAGCTGATTAAGGCTCAACAACACCAGGAAACTTTTTCTGGGGAATTTCCAATCTGAAAATATTCATATGTCAAATATTTGAAAACATGAACACTAATTTGAACATAAATTATAAAAGAATCCTCTGAAAACAGAAACCTCAAAAAGAAAAATCCAAGAATGTCAGTGATATAAAAACAGCAGTGGTAGAACCAAATCCTTTTCCTTTGTGCATGCTGCGGGGGATTAGGTTTATGAGAGCAGCCTGGCTGTACAACTATGTCATCTGTCATGACAGGAGTTGCAACTCCTGTCAAAATAGAGTTCAAATGGGATGAGAGAGGACAGTTCCCAGAATTGATATGGAATTTTTACTGGCTGACCAGATCACTTTTTCAACTCATCTCCACTGGGTAAAACAAGTTATTCTTGGACACAACACAGGGGAGAAAATCCTCTGGCCTTTCCTAATTTATTTATTTTATTTTTTGAGACGGAGTCTCATTCTGTTGCCCAGGCTGGAGTACAAGGGCACGATTTCGGCTCACTACAACCTCTGCCTCCCCAGTTCAAATGATTCTCCTGCCTCAGCCTCCAAAGTAGCTAGGATTACAGGTATGTGCCATCACTGGCTAATTTTTGTATTTTTAGTACAGACAAAGTTTCACCATGTTGGCCAGGCTGGTCTCGAACTCCTGACCTCAGGTTATCTGCCTGCCTTGGCCTCCCAAAGTGCTGGGGTTACAGGCGTGAGCCACTGCGCATGGCCTCTAAGCAGAACTGAAATTCTCATCATTGCAGCATACACTCAGGGAGGCATCCCTAAGTGGAAGATGAGAAGGCTGAGAATTACAATGCTGAATAAGTGATGCTCTAGTGCTGTGTGTGTGTGTGTGTTTTTTTTTTTTTTGCCTCCTAGAATTGTAGAATGGTATGAATGAAAGAATTATTGAATCCAGAGGTCAACAAACTATGACCCTTGGGTTAAATGTAGCCTACAGCTAAGAACGACTTTAACATTTTTAAAGGCCTGTAAGAACAAAAACAAACAATATGGGGCAAAGTTCATATGAGGCAGAGATATACATGGCCCCCAAAACCTAAAATATTTACTATCTAGCCTTTTATAAGCAAAGTTTGCTGACTCCCAAATCTATCTCAATTGTAAAATGAGATAGGTGATCAGTTCACAGCTATATAAGCCATATATATAAGCTATATAATACCAAAGTGGAGACTAGACTCCAAAGTTTCTCAATTTCCAGTTGGTTTTCCTTCCACTATAACCCAGCTATCCCCTTGTTTTGGAAAACTGGCATTGCTACACTCTTCAGGAGGGTTTTTCAACAGCCCATGTTCTTCCACTTCGCTTAGTGTTCCTTTGTTTTCAGTACGAAGAGGTTTTGTGTGCCAGGTTTCCAAAGTTTAAGTGGTATGAATGACAACAGTAATACATTAAACATTGATCATTTCACTATTTCAATAATCATTCACTAAATATTGAAGAAACAGTTTCTGTAGGCAAGAAATAATCCTGGTACAGTAATAATAAAATAACTTTTTTTTTTTTTTTTGAGACAGTCTCACTCTGTTGCCCAGGCTGGAGTACAGTGGCACGACCTCGGCTCACTGTAACCTCTGCCTCCTGGGTTCAAGCAATTCTCCTGCCTCAGCCTCCTGAGTAGCTGGGATTACAAGGTGCATGCCACCACGCCCAGCTAATTTTTTGTATTGATAAAAGAACTTATAAGTCATGGTCTCTGTCCTCAGCGTTCACTTTCATGTCACATATGTTTATTAAAGAACTACTGGATAGCAGGCACTGTGTTAGGTGGTAGGATACAAAGATGCCTCAAGGAGCTCACATTCAAGTGGAGAGAATGGAACGTGCATCTACTAAGTACAACATTAGGCTGTGTCAGAAGTACCAGGGAGGTGATACAAATAGAGCACAATTAAGGGATATCTGGAGGTGACAAACATCACTTCCAGTTTCAGTGACTATAAAAACCTTCAAATATGAAGACAAAGTAGTCCTTGAAAGCTCAATGAAGGAAGCTAAGATTTCAATAGACAAGGACAACAGGGAAGATGGATCTAGCAGAGTCCAGCATGCGAGATGACTTTAAAGCAGAGCCCGAACCCAACACGTTGCCTCTTGTTCTCACTATCTACACAACCACCAGAAAAGAGTTAAAGATGAAAAAATTACTTTTCCCATAAAACTGTCTGATATGGCTAACTTGAGTTTTCTAAAAATAAATACATTTAAAATTAAAACATTTGCACCAGATGGAAAACAGACTTCAGAGGAACTGAATTTTATTTATAGAGAGAAAAAAAAATCCTCTGTCAAAGACTGCCCACAATGCTCTCAAAGTTTAGGGGAAGGAGTCTTACCAGTTTGTAGCAAATTGCAAAAGCAAGAACATAGGTATCTTTCGTGAACTTCACATCTTGGTTTTTCATCTCTATCAATACTTCCAAAGCACCTGCCAAAAGTGAGAGTGGATCGCAGTGTTAATCAGAGCTCCTCTACTGTTGGCCCCCAAAGCTCTCATCTGTTCAGCACTATCTACAGAAAAGTGTATTTCAACAAAATAAAAGCTATTTCTCAAGTCATTTAGCAATTAGCTAAATGTTGAAATAAACTATGAGGTCAAACAGGAAGAACTAATGTTTTAAAAGCTGCTTCCCAATTTTAGCATAAGTAAAATCTGGGATATTTAGTTTAAGGGATGATATGCAATACGATGTTTTCAAACTTCATAAGGTCTCCAGAATTCAGCCACTTATCAGGGATATAAGAATCATTTTTGCATGACTCATTTTCTCCCCTAATTCCCAGGCCAGCAAACAGCAGAATTTTTCAGCAAATAGAAATTGCAGTACTTACTTTCATATTTGCCTTTGATAAATAACATGTCCATCAAAATATTGAATGATGTGGAGTCTGAGAAGAAACCTCGTAAATGCTAATGAAGAAGAACAATACAGTTTGGTTAAAAGTTAAAACTATTTATTGAGGAGGTACTTTTACTGTCTCTTATCTATCCAGGTCTCATTTTTCTGCATACTTTGCTCATTTGGCCATCTGAATTCTCTAATATATTTTATATACTCAGGTTTTATTTTTGAAAAAAGTTGGCTGGGCACGGTGGCTCATGCCTATAATCCCAGCACTTTGGGAGCCCAAGGCAGGTGGATCACGAAGTCAGGAGTTCAAGACCAGCCTGGCCAACAGGGTGAAACCCAGTCTCTACTAAAAATACAAAAATTAGCCAGGCATAGTGGCAGGCGCCTGCAATCCCAGCTACTCAGGAGGCTGAGACAGAGAATTGCTTGAACCCAGGAGGTGGAGGTTGCAGTAAGCTGAGATCGTGCAACTGCACTCCAGCCTGGGTGACAGAGCGAGACTCCGTCTCAAACAAAAAAAAAAAGAAAAAAGTTAAAACGCTTTCCACTCTCTTGGCTGTCATGCTGACAGGTACAGCAAGAGATCTCTGGGTTTCATAACTACCATGAAGGACGTCTTTAAGGAAACGTCATCTGTCATGCTTAGGAGAAAAGAAACTAGCTAATTAACCCTGGCAGAGTGGTCCTAGAAACTAGGTGCCAGCTATTAACATGAAATGGTAGCTATAAATATACTTGAGGACTAAGGCAGGAGGGTCTCACAACTATGGTCTTTTTTTGGCAACGCATAATACAGAATTGATTACTCGCCTTTTGAAATAGTTCTCCAAAACAGTGGTTCTCAACATTTTTTTCCAACTTGTATGTATGTATTTATTTAATTGACAAATAAAAATACATTTGGTGGCTCACGCCTGTAATCCCAGTACTTTGGGAGAGAGAGGCGAGATCTCTTGAGGCCAAGAGTTCGGGACCAGTCTGGGCAATACAGCAAGACCCCATCTCTTAAAAAAGTAATAAAAATTAAAAAAATTAACTGGGTGTGGTGGCACAAGGCTGAAGTCCTAGCTACTTGGGAGGCCGAGGTGGGAGGATCACTTGAACCCAAGAGTTATGAGACTGCAATGAGCTATGATAATAGTGCCACTGCATTCCCGCTTAGGTGACAGAGCAAGACCCTGTATCCAAACAAAAACCCAAAAAACAGTACGTTGTTTTGAAATATGTATATATTACAGAATGGTTAAGCTAAGCTAATTAACATATGCATTACTTCATGTACTCATTTTGTGTGGTGAGAGTACATAAAACCTGTTCTTTAGGCAATTTTGAAGAATACAATACATTGTCATTACCTATAGTCACTATGTTGTACAGAGAAATCCCTTGTACTTATTCCATCTAACTGAAATTTTGTATCCTTTGACCAACATCTTGCTAACATCTCAACATTTTGTGTGCCCTGATAATGGGACACATGGTATTCAAATGTGTCATTAAACGCCTTGCTCAAGTCCACTTTTTCTGAGCACCTACTACGCAGACCCTGTTCTAGGTGCTGAGAATAAAGAAATGATAAACAGGACATACATACACCCTGCTCCAAACCCTACTGGGGTTTGTAATCTAGCAGAGCTTAAATTCTGGTGGAGAAGACAATGAATAAGACAAGTGAAAAAAAATTAATTTCAGCTATTAGTGAGGTCTATGAAGAGCAAGTAGAGAAGACAGATGGAAGGTAGTCAGGGAAGGCACTGTGAGAAGAGACCTCAGTGAGGTCAAGGAGGGAGCCTCACGGATGAGGATGCAGAACGTTCCAGTTAGAGGCTGTGAGCTCGCCATGGCTGAGGAAGAATACATAGGTCCAGAGTGAAGTCAGCAAGGGAGAATGGGGAGATGGCACAAGGGGCCCCCTAGGGCAGAGTCAGGGGTCTGGGTTTTCTTCGAAGTGTGAAGGAAAGCCACCAGAGCAGCCCCAGCCAATGGAAAAGTATTTTGAGTCACCAAGGATATTTCAGAATCACAACGTATGTGACTCTAAATTTTCAATTAGCCTCACTTAAAAAAGTAAACAGAAATAGACTAAATTATTTAACCTACTATAATGTAATTTCAACATGTAATCAATATACAAATTATTAACATACATTGCATTCTTTTTATAACAAGTAATTAAAATGTAAATTTGAGTTAGCCACAGTTCAACGACTCCATGTGGCTACCATGTTGGCAACACTACAGGGTTTTAAGTAGGGGATAAGAGAAGTTTGGGTAGAAGCAGAATTAGGTCCTATGTCACTTACTTGAATTTGTTCATCCTACTCCAGAAAAGTTACTTATACGTGAATTTTTCATATACAAGCAGGCTAAAAAAAACACTTTGCTTTCATCTTTTTTTTGTTTTTATCACCATACTCATGGCTATGATTTATTACAGTGGGAAGCTTTTGTTTTCCTTTAACTGAAACATTAACATATGTTTATTAAAAATAGTAAAATAATACAAAAATGTATAATGTAAAAAGTGAGAATTTTTAATAATTCTACCCCTAAAGATAAAGTGAGTTAGTGTATATCTTCCCAGTATGTATGAATTTATATTTTGTTAAAATGTTAATGTTAGTATGTCTTTTTTTATGGGAAAAAAAACCAGGATCGAACTATTTGTACTGTTCTAAAACAACCTTTTCTCTGCTAACTAATATATTATGGTGGTCATCTTTCTAATACACAGGTGTCATTAAAGAGGGGCAAGCCTAGAGTTAACATGCCCACCATGTACAGAGAAAATTTTGTATAAAAAAAGAGTAAGAGGCAGAAAAACAACTCAGCTTGTTATGTAAGTTACTAAATATACAAAAATGTACCTGGTGGTCAGCCGTGGCCCCAAAATTTAGCAAATATTTCTGATTATGGGAAACACAGCCTCATGAAAAGCAGTCTAAGCTTATACTCCCCCAAAGTGATATTTCTGTCCTCTACATGGTCTCTGGTAATCAAAATGACTTTATTATAAATGAGTGAATTTATAATGTCTCTAGGTCACAGTTTCTTTATCTACAAAATGGAAATCTACCTTATCAAGGCTATTGTGAGAAACAAATAAAATGAAATATTTAAAGTACTTAAACACAATGCTGAGGACATAGTAAATATTCAATGAGTAGCTATAAAAATAATTATTTACTTTTGTTTTTAGGAACAGAAAGTCAGAATATGTGAGGGAAAGTATTTTGAAAATAGAAAAGCACCTCCCAAATGTAGTCTTCAACCAGAAAAATACCAATACAAAATCGAGAAGGAACACAGTTAAAGGATAGGAATGTCAGTCTTTAAATGGAGACTGTCTTAAGCTCTTCTCTATTGAAAGCCCCTAAAAGAGCAGGTGTACAACCCACATTGATACACATCCAAGGTAGGATCATCTGTACCTATACCTCCTCTACACTTGTTCTATATCACTCCACCCCTCTTTCACACAAACTGACTGCAAGGAAACTTAAAAATGCAGAGAAGTGCTCATTCGGCCCAGCAGCCTTTCTTTGAAAATCGTTTAACCCAGGAATAATGTGCATGGAAGAGATGCCTTTTCCAATATCACCAAAAACACATACATTGGCAGAGAAAACAATTAGGAAACAATAACCTGGTCTTTCAAGAACTCCACTGCAGATTCGTCGAGATCCAACTCGTAACACAGCCTCACAAAAAGCGGTCCAAACTTATACTCCCCCAAAGTGATATTTTTGTTCTCTGCATGGTACCTGGTAATGAAAATGATTCAATGAGCCAAAAGGTAGGACACAGGAAAAAGGACAGAGACTGTGGCATGTACTATGCCAGGTGCTGGGACACAACAGAGAATAAAGTTCTCTCACAGTCTGGAGGAGGAGAAGTGGAGATTTCAGACAATCAGGAATCCTGGAGTGCAGAAGTATACCAACCATTTAAATAAACAGAGTTTATAGCAGACTGACATAAAATAAAAGAAACAGGAAAAACGTATGTTGTAATCATTCTCTAAATTTAGAAACAACCCTGAGACTGAGTGTGAGCACATCTTAGGAAATAGCAGGAGTCTAGTAGCATCTGTAAGTGCATCAGAATGGGCCCCACCCAGAGGAGAACAAGGGAAAGAAGCGGGGGTGATGCTCTGTGTTCCTGGAGGCTGGCTTCACCCTCATATAGGATGGCAGACAACTAACAGTCACATTTACAATTTACAGCAATCTCTCTGCTTTTCTAAGTTTGGGAAAGGTACACAGGAGTTACGATCACCTGGCTAAACAAATTAAATGTAGTTTTGAACGTTTACGTTTTAGGAAAAGGCTAATCTCAAAGACAATGATGTCTTCTATGTGGCTTGAGATTTCTATAGGCAGCCAGTCTGTCAGTCAGAACTGCATATCACTACTGTAAATTTACTTTCAATAACTAACTCTTTTTACTTTAGACACCAAGAGGACTATATGTGACAAATATCAACAACTCACGATTACACGTAAATCAGATTTTAGAAAGATTTATTCATTATGAATCTTCATATTCGTATTTCTTTTAGATTTAGATTCATACAATGAGTGAACCTAAAATACCTTGGGGAGAAGCACTGATGACAAAACAGGATACTTTTTACCTTCTGCTAAAAATCATCGAGGAGTTACAGTAATTACACTAGTCTATTCTAAATGCATATACTACAATGATACCATAATAGAATGATGAGGTGTACTTTGATACATTTCATTATCCACTTATAGAAGTTACAAATAGGCTGGGCGCAGTGGCTCACGCCTGTAATCCCAGCACTTTGGGAGGCCGAAGCAAGCGGATCACAAGGTCAGGAGATCGAGACCATCCTGGCTAACACAGTGAAACCCCGTCTCTACTGAAAATACAAAAAAAAAAAAAAAATTAGCTGGGTGTGGTGGCAGGTGCCTGTAGTCTGAGCTACTCAGGAGGCTAAGGCAGGAGAATGGCCTGAACCCAGGAGGCAGAGCTTACAGTGAGCCGACATCGTGCCCCTGCACTCCAGCCTGGGCGACAGAGCAAGGCTCCATCTTAAAAAAAAAAAAAAAAAAGTTACAAATAATATTCATTGCTTCATTACAACACTTATAAATTGAGTTGTTGGAAGGCAAAATAGGATAGTGGTTAAGGGTTTTTAGGCTCTGAATCCAAACTGATCATTTAAATCCTAGCTCTTCTACTTGTGTGATGATGAGCAAATTAATTAACTATTCTGCACTTCCGTCTCCTCATCTGTAAAATGGAGGGAAGAAGAGAACCCAACTCAGTTTTTTTTTTGCGACGATTAAATGAGATGATGTGCCTGGCACATAAGTCTTCAACGTATGTTAGCCCTTATAAAATGTAAGGCATGCTAAGGAAAACATCTTCAAACATCAACATATTTCAGTAAATATTCTCATGAGAAACTTGTGCCAGATTAAAAGCAAAAGAAAGCAAAAACAAGTTTTCTGATTTGACATTAACATGCTAAATGACATTCACATTAATAAAAGTGCTAGAAAGTCACTGAGATAATGAATTGCCTTCTGGACAAGAAATATTCAAGAGGATCTAAAATCCCTCAATAAACCAAACAGCATTTGGTCATCATAACGAGGGTATTAAGATGCTCCCCATTTTTGGCTCAATAAAAAGCTTATGTTTCAGCTCATGACTCTCCTTTCCCTGTCATGGGCTGCCTGACTCAGGGAGAAAGAGAACGTGTTGGTTGTGCTTTGGATCTACCCATCTTTCCACTTGTCCAGCTGTCTACAACTAGAGAAGGAAAGGTCAGCAACTAGGTAGAGATTTATTAGCATTAGTAAAGGAATACTTTTGAATATTTATAAAATATAAATAAGATAAAAATAAGAGTAGAAATAGAGCTCAGAATATTTATCTCATTTTACTACTCTTACAAACATTGAATAGCTTTGTGTAGTAAAATGTGTGAGAGGAAAACATGCCAGAGGGAAATGATTTAACTTTGTGAAACTGAAATACAGAATTAAGTGTGCAGATACAGTGTGACTTTAAATTAGCATAACACTTTTGGAAAATAATCTGACAGTTACATATTGATAAACTTTAAAAAGTTCATATCCCCCGATCCCCAAAAGGAAACAAAGAGTAAGTTTTAAGGAGCGAGTTTCTCATCATGACATTATTTATACTGGTGAAAAATTAGAAAAAACTTCAATGCCCAACAATATCAACTATAATTCCTAAGGAATCAACTATAATTCCTAAGGAATTAACAAGAAAATATATTAATTTAGAAAATAATTATACAGCAATAACTATAACAAATCTTTCAAAACAATGAAATCTTTGCATCTGTGGAAAAAAAAAAAAAACTGCAAAAATATTAACAGTGGTTTCTTAGATGGAAGCAACAGGCCCCAAAGATGGCTGCCATCAATTCCTTCCCTCTCTGTATGTGCATATGGCTCCATCCATCCATAAGTAGAATCCTTTTCCCCACCTCTTGACTTTGGTCTGGCCAGGCAACTTGCCTTGACCAAGAGAAGCCATGCCAATTCTGGGCAGCTCTATCATGCCTGGCAGCTCACATCTGGGTTGTGGGCCAGTGCAGCTCAAACCAACAAATGAATGATGAGGCACTCCAGAAAGAGGCGGGGAGGCCACATGGAGGAGCAATGAGGCATCACAAACTCAAGAGAGGCCTTCTTGGACTGTGCAGTACAGCCCAGCTACCACCTGACTGCAAATGAGTGAGTGGCTTCATCTGACACCAACCAAGAACTGCTCAGTGGAGATGGGCCTGAATTCCTGATTCAAGGATTATAAGAAATAATAAATAGTCACTGTGTTAAGCCATTAAGTTCTGGTGTGGTTTGTTATATAGCAACAGACAACTGAAACAGCAGAATTTGTGATATATTTCTTCTCTCTACTTTTTGGTGTTTTTCAATTTTTCAATGAATTTTTAAATTTTTTTTAACTAAAAAAAAGACATTTTTTCATGTTATAAAATTAATGTCCACTGTAAACAAGTTTGAGAAATCAGAAAAATATACATTTAGACAAACAAAAAATACATAATCCATAATTCCCAGAGAACCAGTTAACTTTTGGTAGACAATCTTTCAGTATTCTTTATATGATTATCTTGTATTTCTCTCTATAAATGTACATATAAATGCAGGTTCATATGGAGAAAAAGATCTTTTAAAAATGGAAAGGAGGGCTGGGCGTGGTGGCTCATGCCTGTAATCCCAGCCTTTGGGAGGTTCAGGTAGGCAGATCACTTGAGTCCAGGAGTTCGAGACTAGCCTGGCCAACATGGTGAAACCCCCTCTCTATTAAAAATAAAAAAATTAGCCGAGCGTGGTGGCAGGCGCCTGTAACCCCAGCTACTTGGGAGACTAAGGCAGAGAATTGCTTGAACCTGGAGGTGGACGTTGCATTGAGCTGAAAGATCGCACCACTATACTCCAGCCTGGGTAACAGATCGAGACTTCATCTCAAAAAAAAAAAAAGAAAATAGTTAAAAAAAAAAAAAAATGGAAAAGAGCAATGAACGTAATTTCAGAAATGAAGTCTATTGATTTGATGTCATACTGCTCCCTGGTAAGTGAAGCCTTTGCTGGCTTTCCCAGTGGCAGGCTATGCTTACATGTGAGTTCTTTCTGACATGGGAAACTTTAATAATAGATCAGAAAGGCACAGCAGGACTGGAGAAGGGAGAATAGTTAGGAGTCCACTGAAAGGATTCAGGTGAGAGACATTAAAGCCTGAACTAAGACACTGCCAATGGGGAGAGAGAGAGAGGAGGGCTGGAGCTGAGGGAGATACCAAGGAAGCGGAACCAAGAGGATTTCTTACCCTATCAGGAAAGAGAGGCAAATGAGATGAGAGTAAAGAGGCTCCAAAATATCTGTCCTGAGTGACTAGCCAGTGAGAAGGAAAACAGACGAAGAGCAATGAATTTGCACATGTTGAATCTGAAGACCTAGGGGATATGTCAGTGGAGTTAGTGAATAGGCTGGTAACTTCTTTAGACATAAAATATCTGCTTTTCTATCCTCAGCACCCAGCATGTAGTAGGAACCCAGTAAGTGTGTGCTCAATAAGTGAATGTAAGTGTCTGGAGTTCAAGGTAGGCATCTGAACAAGAGATTTGGAAGTCACTGGGGTAGAGGTGGCAACATCTTCGAAGTGGATGAGACTGCTCACAGAAAGGAACAGAGTAAGAAGGGATGAGGGTGGCAGCATTCCAAGGAAATGCCTCACCTGTAAATGACATCTTTAGCCAGCTCCACGTGGTCCCGGGACTCACACAAATGAAGTAAGGTTATCAACTCCTCCTTCAAGATGAGCTTGTTCTGGGTCAGCTTCTCTTTCAAGTTTCTAAAATAGGTTTCTGGAAGAAAGCACAGTATGGTGACCATCACTCAGGCTGACTGGGAGTAGAAGGAGTCTGACCTCAGGAAGATGGGGAAGCCCTACCCCGCCTCACTGCAGAGGGGTACTGAGAGGGGCTCAGGGATGCACAGCTGCCATCACTGGCCAATCTCCTCTGGAACAGTGTCAGCAGATGGCATCTGTCATAGGAGGCAGGGGCATGGGCACAGGGCCAGGCCCACTCAAGACTCTCTAAAATAAAATCTCTGGGGTAAGAGCTCAAGAATTGGCATTTTTGATTCCCTAGGTGATCCTCTGGTATACTAAAGTTTGAGAATTACTGTCCCAGAGGCTTGGCTCAAATAACTGAATCTATAGGTGACTCATGAGAAAAAGAAAGAAAATGTAGCCAGACACCCAAACCGTCAATTGGCAGAGAAACAAACAGGAAAACTAAAAAGAAAATGTCAGTTGAAGGTAGGTTTGTCCACAATGGTGGACCCACATGAGTCATGTTTCTTTCGTTTGATTCAACTTCACCTCTTTTTCATTCCTCTCGGTCTCTTTTTACTCAGCTGTTAGAAGGCATGCTAAAGTACTATGTAATGGGCAGGGGGGAAAACAGTCCTCAAACAGCAGCAAACAGTTTTTCAGTGACAGAATCGTTTCAATGTCATCACAGTCTATCATTCTTCCTTGTCTTTGTATCTGATCAACTGTGGGGACAAAAACCAAAAGGAGGCACCTCTTCTTGGCATCAATAAGGGGCTTTATTCCCATCAAAATGTGGGGTGAAAAGCAAAGCAGGCACCAACCAAGCATCTGCTTTCCAGAAGGCAGAACTGTTGTCAGTATCAGAAGCTGCCAGGAAATAGCTATAGGATTCGTTCCAAGGCCCAGAGCTTTGAAGGAATGTTGCTGAAAGGAGAGGCACAAATACATCTAAAACACAAGAACTAGAAGCAGAGGCACTGTTCTCGATTTAAAAGAAAAGACCTACTAGGTTTGAGATAATGCAGTGGATCCTCCAATTTTTATTTGCAGAACCACGTAACCGTTAAAGGCTCTAGAGATGGAAGGACCTGGGCTGAAATCTAAGGTCGGTCACTTGCATTCTGATGGAGACCCTTGTCTCTGAGACTTGATTCCTCATGTATAAAGTAAGGATCGTGGTACCTTCCTCATAGGGTTATCTGAGATGATAGACGTAAAGCATTTGCCATATGGTAACTGCCAGTAAATAGAAACATTATTGTTCTCATTTTCATTCCTTCTGTCACCTGTTAGATCTACGAGGATTTAGTCTATTAAATATTTCTAAGCAACTTCCAGTCTAAAAAGTCTCAAGTCATCAAAGAGATGATGTTACATCTTGTACCTCTTAATCTGCCTTAATAAACCTTAAGAGGCTGGGCACAGTGGCTCATGCCTGTAATCCCAGCACTTCGGGAGGCCGAAGTGGGCAGATTACTTGAGGTCAGTAGTTTGAAACCAGCCTTGCCACCATGGTGAAACCCCATCTCTACTAAAAATACAATAAGTAGCCAGGTGTGGTGGTGCATGCCTATAATCCCAGCTACTGGGGAGGCTGAGGCACAAGAATTTCTTGAACCTGGGAGGCAGAGGTTGCAAGGAGCGGTGATCATGCCACTGTACTCCAGCCTGGGTGACAGAGTGAGACTCTGTCTCAGAAAAAAAAAAAAAAAAAAAAACCTTAAGAATCCATTATTTCAACAGATATAACTTGTGTTTTAAAACAAATCAATCAACATTTGTTTGTCATATAATCATACTCAGAAGTATCCTTCTTTGTGTGTGAGACACCAAGAAGGATAAGGAATAGTTCCTGCCCTCAAAGAACTTAAAGCAAGGCAAGCTAAATTTATACAAAGCTACCTGAAAACGATGGAGGAGGTGACACGTGAATGACTATAAACACAATAGGACTCTTCTCTCCTGTTACGACACCTATTACAACTCAGAGTGGACAGAAGAGTCCTGTTACAACCTTTATTATTATGAGTCAGGACAGACCAGGTTGGTGAAAGTGGAGGGGTACCAGTGAGACAGGAAAGGGCTGAATCAGGTTGGAGAAATGGAGGAGGGGAGCATTCTACGTAAGGGAATCAGCATGAACAACAGAAGAGAACTGGGAATGGAAGGTGTGGAGGGAACAGCCATTGACTAGATCAACCAGAAACTGCCCTAGAAAGGGCAGAGTCCATCACGGGAAAGCCAGGATGCCAGAGGGATGAGTATGTTAATGGTGTGGTATACAACAGAGTACCACTGTGGGCTCAAAATGACGAAAGGTTGACAGGACTTTAAACATAGCAGTCTGACAACAGAGCAGATTGGCACTGACTATATTAATTGCCTTTCAGAACATGTACACAACTGCCACAGCCTTACGAAGACTATGACAACTGGAAATCACAACTGGATGACATGAAGTCCTAACTGCAAACCTCAAATAGATCTAAAATACCTGGGGTAGAAAGAAAAGACTGAAGTGAAATCTAGATTGAGCCTACTCAACTGGGGATAAATATATTCCCCCCATTCCAAAGGTTTATTTTTTCTGCCCCATATATGGTATTATATAACAGTACAATTAGTGGAGCAGCAAGAGAACACTGATTTCTGGAGGACTGAACTGTGAGGGAATGGAGGCAGAAAGTATCAGGATGGGTACAGTGGCTCACGCCTGTACTTTAGGAGACTGAGGCGGGATACTAGCTTGAGCCCGGGAGTTTAAGACCAGCCTAGGCAACACAGTGAGACTCTGACACACAAAAAATTAAAAATTAAAAATTAGGCGGCATGGTGGCACTGTAGTCCTAGTTACTCAGGAGGCTAAAGCAGGAGGATTGCTTGACTCCAGGAGTTTGAGGCTGCAGTGAGCTACGATGGTGCCAACTGCACTCCAGCCTAGGTGACAGAGCGAGACTGTCTCTTAAAAAACAAACCAAAACAAAGAGAATATTAATGTGTTAATCAGGGGTTCACAAACATCTGGCAGTGAGAGGAAGGAAAGCTGGGTCTCTAGCTTAAAAAGTCAGTAGGGACACCAAGAGTTATTTTAAAAAAAGGAAAGTCTTGGATGTGTTCATAAAGAGGGATCAAGCGGGTCTATCCACAACCCCCAGGGACCACGGCTGCATCCACACACAATAAACAGTATGAAATGCTGGGAAGAACTCTATGTGCAGGAGGAGAGAATGAATGCAACAAGCTTCCTCAGGTGCTGAAAGGAAAAAAGACCTAGGGTGGTCTTCTTGCTTTTAGCTTTTAATAACAAAAATTTTCAAACATACCCAAGAAATGAAAGAACAGTATAATAATCCCCCTAAGTGCCATTACCCAGCCTCAATCATTATCAGTATTTTGCTAATTATGTTTCCTCTACTCTACAATCCCCAAACACACTGGATTTTTTTTTCAAAGCAAATCCCAGATTTATCTTTTTGTGGAGACAAGGTCTCACTCTGTCACCCAGGTTGGAGTGCAGTGGTGTGATCACGGCTCACTACACCTTAGACCTCCCAGGCTCAAGCAATCCTCCCAACTCAGTCCCTAGAGTAGCTGTAACTACAGGCATGTACCACCACGCCCAGCTAACTTTAAAAAAATTTGTAGAGATGAGGTCTATGTTGCTCAGGCTGATCTCAAACTCTCTGGCTCAAGCAATCCTCCTGCCTTGGCCTCCCAAAGTGCTGGAGTTGCAGGCATGAGCCATCACGCCCAGTCAAATCCTAGTTTTGGCAGTCAGGTTTCTCTTGTTTTTTAAGAAATTTTTTAATCCTACTGACTTTTCTAGCACAGAGTGAAAAATGTCAAAACATACCATCACACATAGTACTGTTTTGTTTCATTTGATTTCATTTATATATAGATATGTTTGCGTGTACTGAGATACAGCATAAAATGCATTTTTCACTGAAGGTTACATCAAAAAGCTTGAAAGCCAATCATCTCAAGTTCTTAAACTTTATTGTGCATATGAATGATCTGGGGCCTTTCTATCTGCATTTCTATCAACCACCCAATAGCCGCTGATGCCGCTGGTCCTCAAACCACACTGTCAGTGGCACAGATCTAGACGAACAATCGCAGCACTAGCTTTAATATTTCTCTGGGATTGTAAGAGAAGGAATAAGAGGAGAGCTGTAGACTTTCTAGCAACAAAGTGTGAGATGCAAAATGAATATAAGAGTTCACTATGAAACTAACAATAAATGGTCTCAACTTTTTCTAAGGCATAATAAAGTCACTGAATGAGACACTGAATAGGGAGGGATAAAGACAGAGAAACTTAAACGACAGATAAATGACAGAATTAACAAAATAGATTCCATTACCTTTAGTGCCAGGAAGACTGCATGCAACAGCCACTTTCTTTTGCTGAAATTCTTTTAATTTCACCACATTATCTGTAAGTAGGTATCTTTTAGCTAAAAATCAGAGAAAGAAAAAAGTAAAGTCATTTTGACTGTTTTAGAAGTTAGCACACGAGTAGAGCTTGACTGCCTCTAATTAACATCTATTATAAATAACCCATTAGACAGGTATAAATATGACTGTACAAATATAATTCCTGGGAAAAACCATTTATGAACTATCAGAGAATGCAAATCCTCAGCAAAACAGGTTTTACTTGTGTGTGTGAATGAAGCTAGTGATTAACCATAGCTAGTGAGAAACCGTGTGTGGGGACTGGTTGACAGGACGTTGGGATTTGAAGTACAAATGGGCATTCGCCATCTGTTAAAGGGTATCAAGGGCATTAAAAAAAACCAGTAACATTTAAATGCAAAACAGGCATATTTAGTTTTGGTTTATTCAGGGAGAAGCATAGAGTAGTGGAAAAAGCTGCAGCGTGATCACTGGAACTCCCAGTTTTGTCCTCTGCGAAATGAGGGGGTTAAGGCCTCTCAGATGTGGACTCAAAATACATCTGAGATACATGGAAATCACTGATCACAGCTTACTAGATTTGGGAAACATCATCCTTTCTTTAGATCCTTGGCTATGCATGACATAAAAAGGATGAAGCTTGGCCAAAGAATCACGAACTAACAGAGTTCTCTGAGCTGCAGTAACAAGGTAACAATAAAAATTGCTATTTATTTACAGAAAGGCAGTCCAATGAAGTGGTTAGGAGTAGGTCTCTCTATTGTTGGTTGTGTTCAAATCCCGCCTCTAACAGTTCCCTCTGACCTTGGGCAAATTACTTAACCTTGTTCCTCCTCTGTAAATGGAGAAAAGAATGGTACTTCTCTTGCTGGGTGTTGTCTAGAGAAAAGGAATTAATGTATATAAAATACCTTAAAGTAATGCCTGACAAACATTTTTACTATCACTCACTAGCATCTTCAAATTTAACTCTTTTCATAGAGATGTTAAAGGACAGTTTTGAAAAATGAAGAAACGTGCTAAAGTCTTTTAGATTGTTAGCAGAACTCAGACTCCTTAAGACCTCTGCTCCCAAACTCTGCAGAAAAGAAAAAGGACGGGCGCGGTGGCTCACGCCTATAATCCCAGCACTTTGGGAGGCCGAGGCGGGTGGATTACGAGGTCAGGAGTTCGAAACCAGCCTGGCCATAGTGAAACCTGTCTCTACTAAAAATACAAAATATAAGCCGGGCGTGGTGGCGCACGCCTGTAGTTCCAACTACCCGGGAAGCTGAGGCAAGAGAATCGCTTGAACCCGGGAGGCGGAGGTTGCAGTGAGCTGAGATCGTGCCACCGCACTCCAGCTTGGGCGACAGAGCGAGACTTCGTCTCAAAAAAAAAGAAAGAAAATAATGTCTCCCAACGCTGGAGGGGTGTTCCTGAAGACCAACGTCGCCCCATATGAGGGTGCATTACAGCCCCAATGTCAAGACCCCAGCAGTCCTTCGACTTGCAGGCACTGGGGGTATCCACGACCCCCAGGGGTCACCACTGCCCCCACGTGCAACTAGAGGGCGAGGGTGCGCTCCAGGCCAGTGAGTGACTTAGGAGCTGTGGCTGCTCCAAAGAGACGCTAGCTGGGGTCTAACACTCCCTTCTCTCCCATCCCTCCCCTCTTTCCCTAGGCTAAGGCCGCGGATACCTCCGAGAGGGCAGCGGCAGCTGACGGAGCCGGAGCCTCCCACCCCAGGATACATCGAAATCTGCGATGCCTGCAGGAGAACTCGACTCGAGGGCCGAAGTGCCGCAGCCATACCGTCTCGGACTATACCAACTATTGGAACCGGGGCGAGGAGGCGGAGCGTCGGTCCTGGCGCCGAGAGCGACAAACGGGATTCGTCCAATTCTGGGCGCCCCGAGAGGTCGAGCTGTAACCCCGCCCCTTCCGCCCCTTCCTCTGTCCGTAACCCGTTGGCCCTTCGTTTTGGTACGCTCCAAGATGGCTGCCTCCATAGTGCGGCGCGGGATGCTTTTGGCGCGGCAAGTGGTTCTTCCACAGCTCTTTCCTGCAGGTTGGCTGGACAGCTTCTTTAGGCCCCTGATTATTCTGTTCTTTGAGTGATGGGAGCGGTGGGCTTTCAAGAGGAAAGGAAATGTTTCTGGAATCTGATTGCTAGGGACGCCGTTTGGTGTGTTTGGTAGTGCAGAAAAAGGAGACAAGGTCTCTGATCCGTTTCCTTCACTAAAATAACAGTATGTGCCTGTCCAAAGGTATGAAGAGCGGTGGAAGGTTATATAGCCTGAGGGAATTTGCGTATGATTCGCCAGATTTATGTGTTGGGGTGGTCGTGCTTTTGCTGACCACGAAACCCAAATGTGCGCCGGGCGCGGTGGCCCACGCCTGTGGTCCAGGCACTTTGGGAGCGCTAGGCGGGCGGATCGCCAGGAGTTCGAGACCAGGAGTTCGAGACCAGCCTGGCCAACATGGCGAAACCCCATTTCTACTAAAAAATACAAAAAAATTATCTGGGCGTGGTGGCGCGCGCCTGTAATCCCAGCTACTCGGGGGGCTGAGACGGGAGAATCGCTTGAACTCGGGAGGCGGAGGTTGCAGTGAGCAGAGATCGCGCCACTACACTCCAGCCTGGGCAACAGAGCGGGACCCTGTCTCAAAAAAAAAAAAAAGAAAAAGGAAAAATCCAAATGTGTCCATTCCTGGGGCTGGTACATATTTCTCCCATCTGAGGTTTCTTTAGAGGGACGTCTGATAAACATTTTTACCACCACCACACTTAGCCGGACCCCTGGTCTTCGTGGAAGAATTTTTCAGTATTAATCTCATTTTATCTGATGACCTTGAGCACAACTTTTGATTGACCTTTCTTTGCTATAGTTTTCCACGTGTAGATAATAAATGCTAATAGTTACTTGTAAAGTACTTTCATATCTGAATTAAATGGCAGCCCACTCAAAGCCTGCATAGTGGATCTAATAATGAAAACACTGGAAAAAGTTTTAAAGTATTTACAGAAGCCAAATTTGCAGTAATTCTAACCACATAATCCAGACAGACATATTTGATAAAAATGCAGTAATCACAGTCGATTTTTCCAATGCCGCTTATCTTCCCTTTCCAACCTACCTCCCATCCTCTGTTTTTTAAAAATGCACGCACTTCTTTAGGAACAGCAATTAAACATCAATGTGAAACCTCATAGTTGGCCACCAGTTTTCTGACGATTAAGTGGCTGACCTGGTGAAAACGTTTAACATCACACATTAGGCAGTGTTATGCACAATGCTTGCCACCTTAGTAAGAATTAGCTGTTGTGGCTATTTTCTGTTCATGTGGTTTCCATGAACAAGTACACACAGAGGGCATTCTGGGAGTCCTGTCTTTCTCCACTATCACCTCCCCAGCCTTTTTTTTTTTTTTTTTTTTGAGATGGGTTTTGTTCTTGTTGCCCAGGCTGGAGTGCAATGGCGCGATCTCGGCTCACTGCAACCTCTGCCTCCCGGGTTCAAGTGATTCTCCTGCCTCACCCTCCGGAGTAGCTGCAATTACAGGCATGCGCCACCACTCCCGGCTAATTTTGTATTTTCAGTAGAGAGAGGGTTTCTCTATGTTGGTCAGGCTACTCTTGAACTGCCGACCTCACGTGATCCACCTGCCTCTGCTTCCCAAAGTGCTGGGATTACAGGCGTGAGCCACCGTGCCCAGCTGGCCCAGCTTTTTAATCTCCCAGTTCAGAACTCTTGAGCAGTGATCTAGATATTGTCCTTTCTGACTTCAGAATATAGAAGGGTGATTACTTATGCTAGAATGAAGCATATGCTAGAATGAAGGCATAGAGAATAAGAGATAATAAGTAGAGAGTAAGCAAGTCACTGGTATCTGGGAGTGCAGTTGGCTTCCTTATCCCAGCATTCTGCATCTGCAGATTCAACCAACAGCGGATCAAAAATACTAAAAAACAAAACAAAAAAAAACTTAATAATAAAAAATAATACAACAGCAAAATAATACAAAGAAAAATACAATATGACAACCACTTACATTGCATTTATATTGTATTAGGTATTGTAAGTAACTTAGAGATGACTTAAAGCAGCTTGTCCGACCCTCAGTCTAGGACAGTTTTGAATGTGGCCCAACACAAATTTGTAAACTTTCCTAAAATGTTATGAGATTTTTAGTGTTTTTTTTTTTTGTTTTTTTTTTTTGCCCATCAGCTATCATTAGTGTTAGTGTAGTATATGTATGTGTGGCCCAAGACAATTGTTCTTCTACCAGTGTGACCCAGGGAAGCCAAAAAATGGACAACCCAGTCTTAAAGTAATGCAGGAGGATGTTTGTGGGTTATTTGCAAATACTATGCAATTTTATGTAAGAGAACTTCTGCATTCTCAGATTTTGGTATGCAAGGGGGTATCCTAGAACCATCCCCCTGGGGCAGGAGAATTGCTTGAACCCTGGAGGCAGCACTCTACTACACTCCAGCCTGGGCAACACAGCGAGACTCCATCTCAAAAAAAAAAATAATAAATAAAATTAGGCTAGGTGTGGTGGCTCACACCTGTAATCCCAGCACTTTGGGAGGCTGAGGTGGGCGGATCACCTGAGGTCGGGAGTTTGAGACCAGCCTGGCCAACATGGGGAAACCCCGTCTCTACTAAAAATACAAAATTAGTCAGGTGTGGTGGCGCATGCCTGTAATCCCAGCTACTCAGGAGGCTGAGGCAGGAGAATCGCTTGAACCCAGAAGGTGGAGGCTGCAGTGAGCCGAGATCGCGTCATTGCACTCCAGCCTGGGCAACAAAAGTGAAACTCCATTTCCAAAAAAAAAAAAAAAAGAAATTAAATTAAATAATTACAGTCTTTTCTTAGTTCCCCTTTTGAAACCGTCTTTGGAAACCTTATTGTTGTCTCATTATTTAATCTGTAGAACTCAAATTTAGATATATTATTCTAGTAAAGATCTGTGCTCACGGTAACAGAATGATTGAACTGTGTATAAATTCACACGAATGTGTTTGTATTTGTTTATTTGTTTGAGTTGGAAAGTAGGTAGAGAATAACAACAGCATTCCAATATTGTGTTTAATCAGCCCCCATGCTATCTAGTTATGTTGGGCTTTTGGTCTGCTGTGACCTCAGCATAATTATCTGTCATTTTTTCTGTTTTTCTGTTCTGTTTTGTTTTGTTTTTGAGACAGAGTTTCGCTCTTGTTGCCCAGGCTGGAGTGCAATGGTGCGATCTCGGCTCACTGCAACCTCTGTCTCCTGGCTTCAAGTGATTCTCCTGCCTCAGCCTCCCAAGTAGCTGGGATTACAGGCATGCACCACCACGCCTGGCTAATTTTTAGTAGAGACAAGGTTTCTCCATGTTGATCAGGCTGGTCTGCCTGCCTCAGCCTCCCAAAGTGCTGGGATTACAGGCATGAGCCACTGCACCTGGCTGTATTTCTATTTTTTAAAACAGGGTTATTGAGGTATAATTCACATGCCATAAAATTCATCCATTTAAAATATACAATTCAGGCCAGGCGTGGTGGCTCACACCTCTAATCCCAGCACTTTGGGAGGCCAAGGCTGGTGGATCACCTAAGATCAGGAGTTTGATACCAGCCTGGCTAACATGATGAAACCCTGTCTCTACTACAAAAAATTATCTGGGCATGGTGGCGGGTGCCTGTAATCCCAGCTACTTGGGAGGCTGAGGCAGGAGAATCACCTGAACCTGGGAGGTGGAAGCTGCAGTGAGCCGAGATCACACCATTGCACTCCAGCCTGGGCAACGAGCGAAACTCTGTCTCAAAACCAAACAAAAAACAACAAATGAAATATACAATTCAAAGGTTTTAGTATAAAGACAGAGTTCTGGAGCCATCATCACAAGCAATTTTAGGATATTTTCATTATCCAAAAAAGAAATTCCATGCCTATTTGCAATTGCTCCCAATTTCACCCCTAGCTTTCCTGACCCCCACCTTTAGCCCTTAGCAACCATGAATCTACTTTCTGTCTCTACAGACTTGCCTATTCTGGATCGTTCATATAATGGAATCATATAATATGTGGTCTTTTGTGACTGGCATCTTTTTTACTTAACATGTTTTCAGGGTTCATCCATGTAGCATGTATCAGTACTTCATTTTTTATTGCCAAATACTATTCCATTGTAAGGACAGACCACATTTTGTTTATCTGTTCATCAATTGATGGATATTTGGGTTGTTTCCACTTTTTGTCCATTATGAATAATACTACTGTGAACATTTGTGTACAAATTTTCTGTGGACACAAGTTTTCATTTTTCTTGGTTGTAAACTTAGGAGTGGAATTGCTGGGTGATTGAGTAACTCCATGTTAACATTTTGAGGAGCTGCTAAATTCTTTGAAAAGCAGCTGTACTGTTTTATGTTCTCTCCAGTAAGGTATGAGTTTCTGGTGTCTCTGCATCCTCCCCAGCAGCTGTCATTATCTGTTTTTTGATGGTGGTCATTGTAATGAGGATCATTCGTTTCTCCAGGTGATTTTGTTTTGCATTTCTCTAATGGCAAATTATGTTAAGCATCTGTCCTTATGATTATTGACTATTTGTGTGTGTATACATATATATTTTACTTTCTTTTCTTTCTTCCTTTTTTTTGGAAACAGAGTCTCACTCTGTTGCCCAGGCTAGAATACAGTGGCATGATCTTGACTCACTGCAACCTCTGCCGCCTGGGCTCAATCGATTCTCCCACCTCAGCCTCCTGAGTAGTTGGGACTACAGGTGCACGCCACCGTGCCTGGCTAATTTTTGTATTTCTTGTAGAAAAGGGGTTTCACCATGTTTTCCAGGCTGGTCTTGAACTCCTGAGCTTAAGTGATCCACCCACCTCAGTGTATATATGTTT